TATATATATATACACATATATGTATATATACATATATACACATATATGTGTATATATCTATATACACATATATATGTATATATATACATATATGTGTATATATATATATACATACATATACACATATATATGTATATACGTATATTTGAATACTATTTAGTTGCTGTCTATTACACGCTTCGATTTTTTTTATGGACACCAGATGTCAGTGTTCTGTATGCAATAAATGAGACATGATAATGAAGTGGGCTGGGGGTTACTCAGTGCTCCATTGTGAAGCTTGTCATCATGTGAAGTACGTGTACAATACACAGGTCGATACTGCAAACAACCCGGCTTTATACTAGAAGGTCAGACAGGACAAACATAGTGTGTGTTTGTGTGTTTGCTCAGCGTCGCCAGCCTTTTGTCTGAGCTCAGAGCGTCCCTGCAGCTCAAACACTGTAAAAGAGCGTGTTTATCGTTCACCATTTACCTTCCGACCAGACGGAACCAGGGGAAGCGGTCGTAGAAGGGGTCGCCTCCGGTCATCACATTTTCGCTGTCCTCAATGGTGTTGTTGGGCACGTCAGCAGCGCGATCGTACATCTCCCTCATCAGATCCAGCCGTTGTCTGAGAGGAGCAGAGACACGTAGCGCAGTAGGTTTTCGTTTTAGTATTGACCTGTTATTGAGATAGTTTTGTCCTAATCGTGGAAGTATCTGTGACATCTGCTCTAGTATAATCTGTAGTATACAGTATATAAAAATACAGAGAATGAAAACATTTTCGAAGAACCAAAAATGGAGCGTCTTATAAAGTTAGAGTTCCTGTTAGGACACTACTGAATCATTTAGCCCACTCTGGAGTACAAATCTAAAAATAGACACTAGGGTTGTACACAGAAGTGTACTGCATGATGGCAGACCAGGACAAACCTTCCTCTGCTTAAGATACATCTGAATTCCAAGTAGAGGTGACCAAATAGTGGTTGTTTAATTGTAATTCAATTCAGCTCAGAATTTGTTTTTTTTTATTTTTAAAATTTTAAAAATAGCTACATCTTCTTGATGAGGCCAATATTTTACATTTTACAGTATAAAAATAAGGAGGGAGGCCTGCTCGCAGAAGATGGCGGTGATGACATAGAAAACATTTGGAGCAGAACTAATGTGGGGACAGATACAGAAACAGATACTGACAATAAAAAAGTAAAAAAGTAATAAAGTAATAAATAAAAGTTGACCCTGGCCTTTTTGGCATTTTAAAAGCCAAAAACTAATTGTGTTGGGGAGCTGGTTTGCATGGGTTCCTATGCTAATTGCAAGTACAATAATTTAATTAAATTATACTGTTAAATTATACTGTTATTAAACATAATACAAATTATACTGTTATTAACATAATATGCACCAAAAAAACATTTTATGTTTAAATTAAACACTGGCACAATTAAAAACATTTGTAATCAAGTGTGTCTTAGTTGCAATATGCTTTTTCGCCAAAGGGGGTGCTAGAGCCAATCCTAGCAATCACGAAAAGGTACAACCTGGATTAGATCTGTGGCCAATTCAGGTCAATACAGACGGTTAGAGGTGTGGAAGAAGCTGCTTATTTTTTTGTTGTTTTTTTTGTTTACAGTACTAAAATAGCCTTTTTAATATTGTTTTCAGTTTGTGTTTTTTAATACATTTCTTGAAATCAACTCCTCCGCTTGAAAGGCAGGCGTGCTAACCGCTACACTACGGAACCACATGAGAAGCCAAAAAGTATTTCAAATGTGGTAGGTTGGAGATAATCTGTGTATGTAGCGTACCTTAATTTCTCTAATGTCCAGTAATGTGTGGCTCCATTCTTCTGATCCTGCACCTCCACCGCCACAATGGTACGTGGGAAGTGCCTTTTATCCCTCTCCTTGGTTTCCTCAGAGGGCGAGAAGTCCGGAGGCAGAGGAGAGTAGAGGGTGTCCGTGAGCAGCACGAACTGGAACTGGACCTGCACGGACGCAGAGAAGCAGCATTAGAGCCGTCAAATGGTAATGGAGTAAATCGTCAGCTCGAGAGTCGAGTGTGAAACGCAGTAACCAGACGGACCTTTTTCTTGAGTTCCACGCTGATGGCATTGGCCTCTTTAAGGAAGATGGCATTTCCCCACAGCTGGTCACGGAGCGAGGTGAACTGGTAGCACCTCCACTTACGGAAGCCCCACACGGCCAGCTCCCTCTCCGCCTCTGTCCATTGTGCTGTGGGTGACAGAAAAAGCTGTTACCTTAAGAAAGACTCTCCAAACAATAACGGGCGTCTCTCTTTTTATTTGCACTACCTTCTTCTTCCAGCTCCTCCTCTTCCTCGGGAACGTCTGGGTGGTATCGTTCCACTTGTTTCTGTAGAGCTTCCAACTTGCTCTCATAATCCTGGACAATGGAGATCGATGGAATAGCAAAGATTTCAAGAAATAAAAAGAATTGATTTGAACCTTTACATTTTGACCAAACCTATTTTGATTTTTAGACAAAATAAATGAAAAACACTGTACTAGTCTCTGTTGTTCCAGGAGGTTGTTGGCCTCCTCTCTTTCTTTGCGGTACTGGTCCTCCAACTCCTGCAGCCTGGAAAAAACAAAGACTTGTTCAGAACCCAGAACCCAAAAGCATCCCCAAAATTAACTTCTAAACTATCTACATCCGTTGTTCCCTTCACCTCTGGTCCATCTCTTGTTTCATGTCGATGCCCTGTTTATCCAGTAGCTCCCTCTGAGCGAAGGCCCAGTCCACGGGCTCGACTGGCGTTTCAGCACAGGGCGTCCGCTCCCTCTCCGCTCGAGCCTGAACGGGGTGGTTGAAACGGAACACGTGGCTCTTCCCCAGGATGATTCGATTCCCTGTAATGACAAATCATTGGTGTGTTATTTTGACTTTATTTAATCATTTCATTTATAAGGATTTTCTTTCTTTCACCTTTTCACAAAATCAGTCATTGGTTTTCACAAAATCAGAGGTGGTGCAATATTGGTTATTTAATGGCCTCTAAACCCTGGAACGGACTCTTTCGTGCAATATGGCTTATTTAATGGCAGCCTCTAAACCCTGGAACGGACTCTTTCCTATGTTGTAGATGGACCATTTTGAATTACCGTAACTTCCGGACTATTGAGCGCACCTGAATATAAGCCGCACCCACTAAATTTAAAAAGGAAAAAACAATAGCCTACCAGAAAAGTCATTGATTGCTAGCGGTATAAACTTCGTTAGCCCGTAAAAATCCATAAATTAGCCGCATCATTGTTTAAGCAGCAGGGTTCAAAGCGTGTGAAAAAAGTAGCGGTTTATTGTCCGGAAATTACAGTATATTTTCACTCAACTGTTAAGACACAAATATACGCACTGGTTGTAAGACACATATTCCATCTTCAAACCGCACATAAAAATATTTTTTTAGAAAATTTTAAATTAAAATTAATTTACTGAGTTAGCTGGGCTTGCTTAAAGATGCTATAATCTGGAATAACTTAAGATAACTTAATAAACCTTTCTTGCAATACCAGACCTGTACTCTATATATTTAAAGTACCGACTGACCTGATTTGAGTACAGTAGCTTCTGTCACTCTCTTCCCATTGACGTAGGTCTCAGCCTCTTCACAGGGCTCCAGGATAACAGAAGCTTTGAAAGAACATTTTTTTGGTAAGGATCAACTTTCTGTGCGTGAGTCGAAGCTGTATGTTCACACAACGCTACAACATGTTCTTAAAACGACTTACTTTCCCCCAAAGGACCATCACTGCTTGTAAAGGTGCAGTGCTCGTCCTTGATGAAGTGGCCACTTAGAACGATATCCTGACGACTGCTGGCGTCTAAGCGACCAACCCTGACGACGCAATGGCAAAAGGTCAAGTTAATGGTTTGTAAATAAAATGTTACAAAGGTCTAATTTGCTACAATATATTGCAAAAACAATATTTGTCAGTTTTACTATGTAACCTTACTCTAAGCCCTCTACTCCTACTGTAAAAATAATTTCAGGCGAATACAGTTACAGTATAACAGTTACACTAAATATAAAACAACAATATAAATGACCAAACTCTTACCTGGTGATTCCATCTTTAATGTAGTACAGCAGACACTCAGACATCAGAGGGTCCTCGTTAAGGTTCACTAAATGAGGCGTCTGACACAGAGCACAACAAAATTATTACCAGTAAAACACTACAATTCAAATAATATCTACAATACCAAACAAGACGGTTATGCACAGCAGAGAGTTGAGAGTTGTTTCTCGGTAAGGAAACAATCAGTAATAGACAAACCCATGCAGCAATTTTCACTTCCCACAGATTTAAAGCATGGATTATCCATGTTGCCTCTCCCAGATGGATAGATAGTTAGCTAGATAGCTAAATAGATAGATCCATAGCTACATAGCTAGCTAGATAGCAGGATAGAGAGATAGAACCTTATTAATCTCTTGGTACTTCCCCGCTAGATAGCAGGATAGATAGATAGAACCTTATTAATCTCTTGGTACTTCCCCTTAGGAAATTAAATTACTTTAGTGCAGTGAAGGTAGTGTTTGAAGTAAGAGAAGAGGAAGTTAAATATTTAGAACGAAAGCCAGAAAACTCTCATCCCACTCGTCTTGACGAATACAAAACAACCTTTCCACTTCAAACCTACAAACCTCATTGGGGGAAAAGAGCCCCACTGTGTCGATAAATACAGGTTCAGGCATTCTGGGGCTATCAGAAGGCTTAAGGGATAAATCAACAAGCAGTTTCATCAGTCGCTAAACTCATATGCATTAGATCACAGAGGAGATTTGATTAATGATTCATACTTTCTTAGGGGAGAACACTCCCACTGTTCCACCGTCCTCCCGTATTGCAACACCCATTTCGGCCAGCAGGGCCTCTCTGTGAACGAAGTAGAGTAAGTTTTAACAACATAGAAAGGTTCACATTACGTTTTTCTTCCACTGGTATACAGTATGTTCTGAAGGACAACTCAATTATGAGTATTCCGTCCCTTTGATTCCTAACTGGAAGTCCTATGTCTTTTAATGTTTTCAAACAACAAACCCAACAAATGTTTTTTGTAAAAAATACTGCTGATACATGCTAATATAATACATGTACTACCAAAATTAGCTACAATGAAATGTATGTTTAAACGACCTTTCCATTCGAATGGCCTCTGTGCGGCGAAGTTTCTCTTCCCAGGTTTCATTGAGCTCAGCAATGATTTTCTCTGTTTCCTGATACATTGAGAAACGACAGAGAACACAGGTTATTGTAATCGATCGACGAAATGAAATCACTGTATCAAAGTACCAAAAAATATTCAGCAAATGTATAGTTTTTATTCAACATATTCCACTGTTTGGTGGTTCTATACATCACCTTCAGCCTCTCAATGGCTTCCTCACTTCCTGGACTGAACATAATGCGGTCATGCAGACTGGCGATGGATCCAGCACGGCTGGACAAGGCTGAGAGGGACGGAGACGGACTCATCCCTGTCATGGCATTAGTCACTGTGGAGAGATCACCCCTTTGATTGACAGCTTGACCTGTATTGTTATTGTTCTTGTGATCAGACAGGCCTGTCAAGGAGGGGTTATAATAATAAGAATAATAATAATAAGAAGAAGAAGAAGAAGAAGAACTTGGAGGAAATAAATTAGGAAAATACAGATAGATAAGGAGGAGAAGGGAAGAGTAGAAAAGAAAGAAGAGAAGTGGCTTTAAAGAAAAAGTCACAGAGACACAGTTGACAGACTGCTAGCACACAAGCGAGCACAGCGCCAGAGGGAACTTAAAAAGAAAGGCACTTGCCAGAAAAGACCAAATTAAATGCAGAGGCTGTATGCAATCACCGAGCAGGGCACAAGATGCAGGGTCATTCAAATAAAAAAGAAAAAAATGAACAAAATATTTTTGTACGATAATATACCGTTCATCCAAAACGTTGACAGGGATTTGCTACATTCTCAACCAAACACCGCAAGACTCGGCAACGTGCATCAACTATTAAACTGAAACAAGGCCCCCCCTTGTTTCCTGTGGAGAACACTGTAAAGCGACAAGATTGTTCCATAAATAGTGCGTGTCTCCAAAGCCTAGCAGCGCCAAGCACTCAACTGAAGTTATAAAAGCATTTCCCCAGCAGCGAAGCAGACACGGCGACGGTGAAAAAGTCTCGTCATTTGTACCGTGTTCCCCCGGTTTATTATCCCTTTATGACACCGAGAAGAGCTACGGCCGGTTCTATTAAATGACAAATATCAATCTCTCAGACCGCCGCTGTCATGGCAACACAATAAATTGAGAACTGTATCGCAGTCCTCCATCTGGACAGGCTGCTGCTGTTTCCAGGAGGGGTCTGGTCATATCACCATTAAATAAAGCTGTGTAGTAATGAGAGGAAAAACATGAGACGACCACCTCAAAGTATCATCCATATGCACATCATCATCTTATATCTGTGATCAAGCTCAGTTAGAATCACTCCTGTTTCCTGTGGCTGCCAACAGGAGGCGACGAGCCTGACAGACTCGAAGAAATTACAGATAAAAAGATAGTTTCCATATCTCATTATTTTCTGTCACCTTCCATATTGCGCTGCTCTGCCTTGCTGCCTTATCAGCAGTTTGGTGCCACGACCGCCAGGTCATTCACTGATCCCTACAGCGCCATGACGCAGCACATGCAGTAAATTCTGCTGGAATCTAAGGATGAGAGCTGAGAAGATGAAGACCGATTACCTTTCTCTGACCTAAATAATATGATATATCATATTTATTACATAAAATATGATATAGTGTTGTCGAAGGCCAAGAATAACATTTATTGAACAGTCTAGTGCTGACTACGCTTTGACCAGAAATATTGACCTTAAATTTCTGCAACCCCGTTTTTCCTCAATAAAATAAATTCTAAAGGACATTTAAAAAAAATAACGTCAAGCAAAACTGGAATTAACCAGTTACTCGACAAGGACAGGATTTGACCATTGCCTTTAACCCATCCAGTAAACAACAACAGTAAGACAACCAGACTCTAAGCTCAGCTAAAGTAGGCCACATAAAACAATAAGACCGGCTGCATTTGGCCCGCGGGCCTTAAGTTTGGCATATGTGAGTTTGACATATATCAGATATATACTTTGTCAGAGGGGATCTATTAAAATGCTCCAGCATCCAGATGTTGAAAATTTCCCAAGGAAACCTAACAGCATCTCAGTGTCAAACAGAAAACGTTATATATATTGTACTGCATATTTATAAAATAATTAATTAATTTTAATATTTGTAAACTGTAATGTAAGAAATAATATAATATCTTTAAACTAGAAGAAAGAATATATTAGTACATTTCTAGCATGAAAATATACAAAGATATTGCCTGTCATTATAAATGGGCCACGAGAGGTTTAGGGGCGACGTGTTCATCACAGGGTTCCCTGGCTTCTGCAATTAATAATTTTAACCTTCTATACAAGCTGTTAGGACGTTACGTTCTGGGCGCAAAATGTCCACCAGGCGGAACAAAGTGGATCTTTAGGGGACGGCAGACAAAATAAATGCGAGGTCAGAGAAAAAAAGTCCGGACTGAATCTGCTAAATAACGCTCTGTGCTCAAAGAGTAGTTTTAAAGTTCATATGTTGAAAAAAAAAAAGAGTAATATGAAAACAGTGTTTTACCATCGTGTCCTAGCTGAGATAATTAAACGATAAACATTTTGTTGTTCACTTGCTAACTGAAACAACAAACAGTAGCATTTTAACCGGGTTTTTAGCACTCCCTGTGGAAGACGAAGGAGCTACAGGGAGGACTCATTTCATTGGATTTTTTTCCTGTACTCTGAGGGGGATGGCGAGTTTTCATCTTGTTAAAAATGTTATTGGCTTCTGACTTTAAACGTAAGAAAACGACACGAAGAATCTATTGAGGTGAACTCATTTCATTGGATTTTTTTTCTGTACTCTGAGGGGGATGGCAAGTTTTCATCTTGTTAAAAATGTTATTGTATATTTAGTTTACCAATCAATAAATAACCAGAAATAGCTAGTTAGATCGCAAGAAACTGTATAGAAGCATAAATGTGATTGGTTTGCATTTCCTGAATCAGCTGCAGTGTTTAAAACATGGACTCTGCAGATTAATGTGAAAAGACCTGTTCATAAAATTCTTGTTTCGTTGCCAATTTTTCTTAACTCTTTCTTAGATTCCTTCTTGTCGGTGCTGCAAAAAAAGACCAAACAAAACAAAACTGTTCTCAAGACAAAATTAGAAGCTGATGATGCTAAGCTGCCACATGAGCAAAAGCAAGAGTCGGAGCTGAAGACATACATTTCAAACCCTCTATATCTGCACCGGTTGCTCGATATGCTGGGAGACAAGAAAGGAGAGAGAAGGAAGAGGAAGAAAGAGAAATACAGACATAATAACAACACCTTTAGAGGGAAAGTGTTCAGACTGGTCAAGATGAAATAAATGAGAGCAGCCCTTGAGATACAGTTTTAAACCAACACCCTGTTTGCAGAAAGTTCACATTCTGTCATTGTCAAACTAAGAATGTGGGGTTTTTTTTTAACTATTGCTGTTAAGTTTAGTTCTATCTAAATCAGAGCAGATGGCCAAACAGGTGCTGCTGTTTCACAGGAGTGGAGCCTGAAGGCAGCTTCACTGGACTCCATAAATCTCACCTACACTCCCTTCTGTAAATAGCAACTAAATAAATCAGAATCTGTGTTGCCAGCGCTTAGTCAACTCCAAAGAAATATGAAGTTCACCATCGTCTTTGTCTTCTCTATTTAATGCCCCACTGTTTAACTATTTACAGTACAGTAATACCTTGAGATACGAGCAAGCCTTCGGGCATATTTTTGCTTCGAGATACGAGTAAAGATTTGAGATACGAGCACGCTTACAGACGCCGACGCTAGGTCGGAGCAGCCCACGTTGCCTCGATCGTTCACTTCACGTGTTCGTCGACATCCGTACGCGCATCACACGTGAGTCGTCCGTTTTTTTTTGTGTGTGTATGTCTCTATAGCAATTAAATTTTTTTAGCAATTTTTTTCCATTGTTATTAGTACTAATAAGGGAGTTTTTTAAAGGGCCGGAATGGAATAATTTTTTTTCTGGTATTTCTTATGGGGAAAAATGATTCAAGATATGAGCACTTCGGTTTACGAGCTCGGTCCTGGAATGGATTATGCTTGTATCTCGAGGTTCCACTGTATTTGTATATTACTGTTATTATTATTATTAATAATATTTGTTTAAAATTACTGCACTCTTCCCTTTATTCACCATGTAGCCTGACATTAAGTGTAAGCACAACTCTGGTAGAAAGGTGCACATTTTAAATAATGTTTAGTAACAGCAGTGATTATTATATGAACAAATGGAAACTCACTCTCAATGATGTCGCCAAGGCCCTGGGAGAGGAGGAGGTCTTTCAGTCGGGCCACCTCCTCTTTAAGCTCACGCACCAATCTGTTGTTGGGATCCTCGTTGATGACAGCGTTGCAACGGATCTGTTTGGCTCTGTCTGCATACCTGAGACGAACACATGACAACGGCATTCAGGAAACAACGGCAGACAAATCGTCTGTTCAGCTGTTCAGTGTCTCGTTGACCTCATTCACAGGTAGTTTATTTAAGTGGGTCAACAATCTCAGCAGTTTGGGGTTTTTTTTAACATCCGGGAGGAAGACAAGGAAGGAGGAAAATCATTTACTAAAAGGCCTGAAGGTGTGTCACAGCACTGAAGACACTTCTAGTTTTACTGTAGAGTGGCTTGGTGAGGAATGTCTCTTCTCAGTTTTACTGTAGAGTGGCTTGGTGAGGAGTTTACACTTTATCAAGTCATTTTCTAACTACTTTAACCAAGAAGGTGTGTGTTTTTTTCTTTAGAACTCAAATACGAAATAGTGCTATACAAGGAGAGACTTTGTTTATTTATTTAGAATAGGCAGAAAGTTTATTTATTTTATTTGCCATTATATTACTTTTTTTATATTTATCCTTAGCTCGAAATAACCGTAAGCATTATACTGCTTGTGTCCTGAAGGTGGCGCTTGTGCACACACAATGACCGTCATCCCAATTTTACACACACCAGTGCAGGTTTTTTACAGCCCTGCCAACCAGTTCATTGTATACTTCATGAAACCTAGCCTTAAGAAGTATCTGTGACGGTACTCCGTTTCAGCAAGTACACAAATGAAAATAACATGTTAATTTGCTTAAATTATTCTATGAAGATTTATTTAAAAAATGTTAACCGAAATTTGAGGCATGTGCAGAAGGACGCACACACATTATACATCCAAGAACTCCACCGTCCTTCTATTGAAAATAAGACTGACTGTCAAATGAATAGCAATGGACTGTAGACTGATTTATTTTGTTAGTTCAACACGCTTCACTGAGGTTTTGAAAACTTTGTGAAGATAAACTTCAGTACAATTAGCCAATTGTTTTGCAATCTTCAACTTCTGATGATCTTTTAGCATAAAGAGCCTTGTCCACACACGCAGAAGCACAGACCGAGTGACGTTGCACTTTCGCACGGTTCTGCAGCTGCAACTTACGGGAAGTGCTCGAAAAGTGAAAATGACTCACTGGCATTAGTGTCCTTTAGCAAAATATTGATTAGCTTTGTGCTACAAAAAGAAAAAAAGAACTGTTCTATTACCTGAGTGTGCTGAGAGTCTCATCGTAGTTGACGTCAGCAGGACTCAGAGCAGCTACCATGGCAGTGCGCGAGTTACCCCCTGATAAAACAAGAGGTTAATTAAAAAAAGAATTTTTTTCCCAAGAGATAAATACTTCAATTTAAACATTTATCTTCTCATTCTCAAAGTGTGTTCATACCCAAGTTTTCTCGCAGCAGCCAGGTCAAAACTGAGTCTCGGTAGGGAATGAAGCTTTCCACTTTTTTCTTCTTCTTATTCTGTGTACAAAATGAAAGCACATTAAAATGAATCAATCAGTTTTATGATAATGGGTTAAAAAACTAGGACTAGTAGAGAGGAAAAAAAAAATCACCTTATTTGGTCCAGAATCCTGAAAGAATAAAGGACAAAGAAATAGACATTTTAGCCTCTGTTTTTTGTATATTTAATTATATAAAACACAAAACAGATTAAATGGCTACATACCACTTCGGCTAAAGCAGAGATGACTTTGCCCAGAGTCGTTAGGGATTTGTTGATATTTGCTCCTTCCTGTTGTAAAAACGGCAGATTAACATTAACATCAAAGATCACTAATTTGAGAAACCGCATTAGAAGATTAAAAAAAAAAAAATTACCTTCAGCCTTGTTCCTTTAGCTCCAGTGGAATCTGCCCTCTCACTGCCAGCCAGATCCACCAGACTTATTTTACTAACCTGCAGCACAGCACATTCAAAACAAATCACAAATTATTTCATTTCCCCAATGACCTTTAACCCTTCATCGATCTGCAATTTTAGAGACAGTTTAATTCATTTCAATCATCACGGAGTGATTTAAATCTCTACCTTCTCGGTAGAGTTGTCACTTTCAGCATCGTGACGTTTCTGAGTGAAAATGATGTTAAAGACGGCGTGTGAGCGGCTGCTGGTCTCATTCATGTTAGTGGCAGCCACAGTCCTAAAGAGAGCAGAACAGGAAACAACTTAAATATACATATATGAAAATAAACAATAAATCATTTGAAAGTAAACATTGTTGTATGAAGACCACCCTGCTGAAGAGGGGCAAAAGTAACGTGCTAAGATTCCAAATGCACTTGTTTTCTGCCACTGTCTGCACTGATGAGCCAGGCAGTAATGAACAAGGTTTTTAACCATAGCCACCATTAGCCAGAGTCTATTCTGAGAAACAGGAAGTCAGTAATGGCCACACTTCCTTTAGGCCGCACTTCCTGCTCCGTGGGCCAACTTTTAACCACACTTGATGCGTGTGCAAAGATCCAAAGATTTTTCTTTAAAAGGCACCCAACATAGCTTTTTATTATCATAGAAATGACAATTGAGGTTTGATTACCTAAATTAATTAATTTTGAATTTTATTTATTCCAATGTTGCCTACAAGTTCATCTTCAAACATAAATTTTACAAAAAAAAGACCCTGACCAACTAGATTTGTCAGGGGCAATTTTTCTGGACAAGCACCTTAGGGCTGAACACTCAAATAAAATAAAATAAAAATCAATTTTTTTGTCTATTATTGTTCATTTGATGTTTATTTTGGAATCAATTTATGGGCCCAATTAGACAACTCGTCAGCCAGATTTCAGCCCGTGGACCACCAGTTGGCTTTGTCAAGAAAATGTTTCGACATGTGAAGCAGAGTGACGGCATTATCAGGGTGGATAATCAACAGACAGCTCCATCACCTGGCCTTATTTCCAGAGTCCATCAAGTCCTGGATGTCGTTGTAGGAGGTGACGGCGAGCTTGGACAGATCCTCCACGTAAGGACCCAGCAGAGGATGCTCTCGCACACGCAGGTGTCCTTTGTTTTTGGGGTTCAGTCCCGCACACGTTCCCAGTAGATCTCCATGTAGCTGACCTGTACACGGATAAAATATGATGTAAGTGTCTCACACGTGTTAGGTATACAGCAGGACCAGTGATGGATGGATGGATGGATGGATGGATGGATGGATGGATGGATGGCTGGATAGATGGATGGATGGGTAGATGGGTGGGGGGGTAGTGGATGGATGGATGGATAGATAGATAGATGGATGGATGGATGGAATGATAGACGGATGGATAGATGGATTGATGGATGGATGGATGGATCTTTATTAATCCCTTCAGGAAATTAAGGTACAAATAGAACTACTTACTTCCACAGAGTAAGCCATGCTGTTGTCTGCGTTGTTGTGGATCTTAGTAAAAAGATCTTCACACATCTGACAAAAAAAACCATAAAAGTATGAGAAACTGACGCCCATATTAACCGACTGATTCATTATGGAGCAGCTGTGAGTCTGTACCAAGGGAATGATTCCTTGTTGGTCCTTGACGTCCTGTTTACCCATCATGGTGTAGGACTTGCCAGCACCGGTCTGGCCGTAGGCAAAGATGCACACATTGTAACCTTCAAAGGCGTGCAGCAACATTTCTTCCCCGATGTCTTTGTACACTTGCATCTGAGAGGCATAATTGACATCCTCGGGCTGCGAAGAGAGATCAATCATTAATAACGAGCCACGGTGTTTGTCATACACCTGGCGAAGATCCACAACAAATGTTCTTGTTGTGTAAGAATGATTACCGTGGTGTGAGACCAGTACGAGTAATCAAAGTTGAAGCTCTTGTTGTCTTTGGCCTGTTTGGGATTGATGATGGCTAGAAGACAAGATGTAAAAAAAAACAAACAAGTGTCAGTAAAAAAGATTTTCTTACACGAAACAGTATCTTTGCAGCATCATCACTTGATGTGGTAAAAAATGAGCCGAAAAGGTCTCAGTTTCCTCTTTAGTGAAAAAACAATGATCGATGATGCTTAAGGGAATAAGGCAAAAACAATTTTAAAAGCATTCTGATAGCTTAGAACAGGGGTGTCAAACTCACGTCCACCAGGGGGCCACATCAGCAATACAGTTCCCCAAGAAGGGCTTGTTGTAACTGTAAGACTGTATAGATGTAACTACTCCAAAACATATAAATAAATGTTTCTACAATTTATTATTATTTACTCAAGTAACAAAATTTCTTTTTAAGATCCAGCGGGCCATACAAGATGACTTGGCGGGCCGCATTTGGCCCTCCGACCTTGAGTTTGACACATATGGCTTAGAATATGGCTTATAATTCTGTTATAATTTCTTTTTTTAAAATGATTCTTTTTCAGCTAAAGCTAAATAGAGCACAAACCCCTAACAGCTGTTTTGACGGCTCTCTGGTTGAATACAGAAAATATAATGTGATATTATTTTACACATCATTTCTTTTAAAGTAAAGATAAGGATCTGCCCCACTTTAGAGTGATTCTTAATTTTGCAAAACAAAATTTTAAAGATCATTTTAAAAATCACTATTCTAGGTTCTCAATAATGCCGTCATCTACATGAAATGGATTCTTGTTATTTTTCTTTTAAAGTGATGAGAAAAAAAAGCAAGGCAATATCATAATGATTCTTGTTTTTTTTTTTAAAAAAAGTGTTGAGAAAAAAAGCAAGGCAATATCATAATGACAAGAGAAAGCCAAAATTGTAGCTCAGTTTAAAAAAAAAAAAGAAAAAGATTTTTCATTATCCCATTAATCCGTAAAAATGAACTGGATTGTCCCTAAAGCCTGGACTCAGCTGAGGGAGAATCAGTTTGAAAGCTTTTGTAGATAACACTGATGAATAAACTAATGTACCAACACATTAATACAACCATTGTTTTATTTATAACTTTGAGCTAGTAGGCAGGGCTCCTCGGTCAAATAATTATTTACTTATGAGTCAAAAAGTTTATGGGATGTTCCAACCACAGTATTAAAAAAATTATTTAAAAAAGCATTTAAAAAAAAAAATACCTGAATGGCAAACGTGAATTAGCATCATTATATATATAGATGTGGGCCAAAAGTGGGGGGATTCCGAGGGCCAAATGTGGGCCCCTGAGCCAGATGTTTGTGAGCCCTGTTTACAGGTGTTGCGTATCCGTCCAGAAACAACAATAAATTCTGTGGTCTGATAATGTCAACAGTGAAAGTGTTAATGCTTCCTCTGAGCTCCCACTGGTCGAGACACCACTCCTTGTGCTAATGTGGATGCGGTCGATAATAGAGGAAAAAAGAACACAGAGGACGTAAGCACACTTTAAAGATATTTCCACTCTACACTGCTACATACATCGTGTCTCCATCCATGAGGTATAGGCTACGGCGGTCGTCTCCGGTTTCAGGGTCAATTTTTTTTGTTAAGATGACAGAGGGATGAGACCGTGTTTATTGAACATCTTACATCGGGCACCCAGGAGGACGGCCATTGAAACAACCCAGTTCGGACACTAGCACTTAAACTACACAACGTTTGCTGCACGCCGCAATGACAAAAAAAAAAAAAAAATCAATGGCATTAATCAGCTCCAAATGTTACCCACACTTCTCATTTCCTCCACTGTCCCCTGCTACAAATGATCTTTTCCAGTAATGTGGCCCGACATTACCCGTTATTAGAAAGGCCCGTTAAATATTCAGTCAGGCCTGAATGCATATTTAACAGTAACTGAGAAACAGTCCTTATTCCCATTAAATCTCTGTGAAAAGTGAGGTTGACTTTAATTATTGGATGCTGACACGTCACATCCAGGAACTAGGTGTTGCTCTAAAGCGTCTGTTGTCGTACGTAAGGAGGGAGGGAAAAGTGACTCAACGTGAGTCACTCATGTCTGTTAACCGGAACTACGTATATAACTGATCTGGATGAGTCATGTTTAGATTTTATTTTGGTATACAGGAGTTCAGCTTCACTGTACCGGGGCTGCTGCACAGTAATGAACAACGCTCAGCTATGTGTGAGTACAAGATCGAGTTGCAGTACAAGTACAAGACAAGCTGTCATGAAGATACCTGTTCCAAGTATTATGCTCATAGTATTTTTTTATAAGTTCTACAGTGAAAAATGTAATTATAATTCGATGACTCAGATTAAGGCAATGGTTCCCAAAGTGAGGGGCTAGCCCCCTCTGTGTTTATCGACATGTTATTATCGATAAACGATAATATCGTCAACATTATTTTGACTCGAAATTATTTTAAAGGCTGTCTGGGGCGGGGCGTTGTGAAGCTTTTGTGACGAAATCAGCGGACTAAACTTTCTGAGAGCGCACACCATTTCACGCAGTTCTGTTCGCATTTACTTTGTCGACTGAACACCTAAGTGAGCAATGACTGTCGGGACCAAGGCTAGTTTTTTTTTTTCCCGGCTGGAAGAACTGTGTCGGGTGGGCATTCAAGTTTGTCGTGTTGCCTTCATTGTCGCCAACACTTTCTAACAAATTTAGCGTGCTGGCTCATCCATGTTGCTGCGCTCTATTCTAGCGGCCACCACACCGGCTCCCACGACAAAAACTGCATGGCTAGCAAAAGGGTTCACTCCGCTCATTCCGTAGAACAAACGTGCCCAGGTGCTGAGTCTGATGAGCGAACCCTCTTGTCATCCAGCCTGTTTGGAGGCTATATATCCAGGCATGTTAAATTATTGATCATCATTCATCATCCGATCGATATTTATTGATTATCATCCCGGGCCTAATCACAGAACACACATTACACGAACCTCGACACTAACTTAGCTATTAATACTACATTCGTGACATATGTAAATATATGTTGTCATGTGTAAAACATACAGGTACTGTTAACATTCCAGCCATGTGAGAGTATCTTGACTGCAGAGGGGGGCCCACTGCTCCTGCAGCTCACTGCCCTGCATCTTAATGAATGTCACCATGGCAGGACTGCAGACATGCTGCCTTTCTCCTGCTTTGTGGGAACTGGGCTATTGACCCACACATGAATGTCAGGGAGCACACACACACACACACACAGGAGATCTCTCTTCTTTTTCTTCCTCTTCTTCTCAGGCCAGACAACAGACAAAGAGGCATTTATATCCGCACCCCAACCTTCCAGACACCAGAACCAATGACCTTTTTTTTTTTTTTTTTTCTTCATGACATCACTCTGCTCTCATCCTCCGGTTCACAACATCTACACCCACTGACTCAATTATTCTTCTCAGTGAGTCACTATCTCTTTTAGAATGGTTTAGTCTATTTTTTCTTCTCTTGTCAAAGTTTTCTAATTGTATAAAATATTGTATAATTATTACAATATTTACAGCACCGTGGTTAACAGAAGTGACCTTACTGTATTACCTTACAGTAATAATGCACCTTATCAGAGACAGAGTGCATACTTTAAGTAGTATCTGTCCAGATTGGCAAAATACCAATGACTTAATATAATAATAAAAAAAAAACAAAAAAAAAAACTGCTGAGTAATTGAATAAAAATATCAAACCAGCACAAAACCACTGTCCACTGCAGAAACCTGCAGTACCATTTTTCACTAATGTACAATTGTCTATATGTAAATTAATGACAGATGAGTGACTAAATACATTCTTGAATGATTTTAATTAAAATAAAACATTTTGCCTAAAGTAACTGCCAGGTTTTGCCAAAAATATATTTGTTATATACGTTGTTTTTGTCACTAGTAACTACAGGAATGTACATAACATTTTGAATATCAATTACTGTAGTAGCTAAGATATGAAGGTACTATAAAATATTTGTAGGGACCGGCCCCTCTTAATGCGACAAATCACATAGTTTCACATCAAAAGAGAACAGACACACAGTGTGTTGTCTAGTCACCTATGGCATGAGAAAAGAGCGGTGAGATGGCTAAATTAGGCCAAATGGTAAATTTTTCAGGAGACACATCCATTATTGATTACACTCTACCTTGCTAAGGTATCGAGTATCTTTCCAGTCTCATCTAAACAGTCCTCTCTGTGAGCACTGCCCTCACAGGTATGTTGTAAATGTTGTGTCAAATGGAATTAAATTAGGATTTTCCTTGGTAGCAAATGACATGTAAAAACAATATTTAATCTCATGATTTAAAACGAGGGACAGGCAAAGGGCAATAAAACATTATTGTGTTAAAAAATAATTTAATGAAACCAACTCTACTTTATATCACAATTGTCAGGGTTTGCTTGATTGTTGTTAAATGTATAGAAAATGGAAACAATTAAATAATCTAATAATGTATTTAATGTATTCAAATATATTTTTGCCAAGTAAGTATTTCACAAAGACCAAAGGTTAATGACAAAACACTTTTAAGTCAAAATGTTAACCTTTGGAATTAATGATAAATATGGTAAATGACTCATTTATCTGTAAATGTGCCCTACTTGGTAACCACTTTACCATAAGGCTTCTGAAGGGAAAAGTTTGAATTTGTAGAGTCTGAAAATCTTTGTTCTACTTGAATTCTGCTCAAGTTAACTTAATTTAATTCAGCAAACAAATGATACTTTTCCAAACAGTGACTTGTCATGTGTAATCGACACATCAGCAGTACAACAGGTGGAACACCAAACAGGTAATGTGATTATGGAGAACTTACTGGTGGTGTTTCCAGACATCTGAATGATACATTTGCTGTCCATTCCATTTTCCCTGGAGTTGAACGGGCGGACTCGCACCGCCACTTTCACAGAGGCCCCGGCCATGGTGCTGCTGTCTTCCTAGCCTCCCGCTGTGCTTTCTTTAGAGCCCCGGGACAGGGCCTGCAGGTCTGCAGGAAGACAAACTGATTAATACATTTCATTAGCATTCACAGAAGAATTTCAACTGTTTTCAAAACATTGCAATATAGTTAGAGGTCACCGAGTACAAAGGGAGAGAGCTCGGTTTAACAAAACTAATTAACGTTTATCTTTATCCTACAACCTGACTGTTACGATACCATCCTGAAGGGGGCAGACCTTCAGTTTAGGCCCAAAATTGTCATGTAAAATGTCATGCAACTGTTTGAAACCTGTGTGTTAGATTCGTTAATGTATGAATTTCCTGTCTATAATTATCATTATTTTAAATGCAAATTGTAATCTGTCAAAACAGGTATAAAAACTAATGTTCCCTATTGAAGAAAAATAATTATAATGCACAAGTATTCAAGGATTCTATCAGCGATGCATCTCTGAGAATAAAGCAATGAAATTTATTTTGAGTACCAAAAAAGGAGGGCCAAAAAAAAAAGCCTTTATGTATTTATTTGTCCGTATTAGTTTATGTTAATAATAATAACAATTATTCAAGAAACATTTTGGGATTGTTCTGGCTGTAAATCACATCACAATGTCCATTTAAATGCACCATTAGCAATAATGGACTATTCCATTCTTACAGGGATTCTAAGTAACAATGCGACCTGAAACCACTAATAAAGAACATAACCCTGTCAAAATACAAAATAATTATTTGTTTCATTCCCCACTTGACTTTCATTCACAATGGAGTATTTTGACTTAGCAGTCAATTCCCCACAATGGAGTATTTTGACTTAGCAGTCCAATACTCTTCTCCCAAAGCTCCATTTAGCTTCCATGTGTGTTGCCATGTGGGTTGATATGGTTAAAATGGCCGCTGTGAAACTATTATCCAACGTCAACAGTAAGAATGAAAAGTTTTTTAAATACATATTTTAACACAGAAAATGATGTAGAGGCGGAAGAGCTGCTGCGCTAATGTTAACTCTCCACAGATAAATAGAAAAATACATCAAAAACATCACTTTTCTATTAGTGTATGTGAGTGGGTAAAGACAGGCTCCAAGGTTAGTTGTCTGTCACATGTATATAAACATGCAGGGGAATGAGTCAGCCCGATAATTAGTCAAATCAGTTTGTGAGAGTGAAAGCATCACGTTAGCTTGAGAGCTGTTAGCAACAATGACTAATGGGAGCAGGACCTAACCGCAATTTAGAGCCAGAAGGTTTGTTCATTCCACATTTACGATCTTGGTAAATCACCAATTATTAGACAATTTTGTATTTTAAGCATTAGGCTCCTCCCATAATTTCATTATCAGTGTACATGCTAAATGTTGTTTTTGAGACCTGAATATTTACCTTACAGTTGACATGATCGGCACAATGGAGGGCAACAGTGGCGTCTGCTGCTAATGTGAAAATACCAGCTAAAGCCTAAAGATAATAGAGCCAGCAGCGACCACGGAACTGCAGCAACAGCTGAATGTCAGGTTATTTCCCTGGATGACAACGGCAATGAAACCAGTCACAAATCCAGACAGGCTGCGTTCAGCTGCTCGGCCTGATGAGCAACTCGTTTCCTGTCACCTTCTTCTGCATCACTGAACGGTGATATTAAATCGCTCCGTGATTTTTAGTATGTGGGAGCCTTGTGGGTGTAACAGAGGCTACCGTGACTCATCATCCACACAGATCGAATTACAGTCATTTAATGTTTTCATCAATAGCGTTCTCTCGCAGTGATGGATATGATACACGGATGATACGCAGATTTTTTTACTGCAAATCTTTGGCTCATACTTCAAACATCACAGCGAGAGACAGTGTAATCACTTAATGAACAGAAGAAATGTTCTTTGGTTTAATTGACACCGTGTTAGTATCTGATTAGGCATCAATATTAAAAAGCAGATGCTTTATTATCCCCATCGTCACTTTAGGGTGCAGTGTATTTGCTGTGTCACCCTAGCTGTCACCCTGTTTCCTGGTCTAACCTCACCCTCCTGTTCCTAAACGACTTCTTCAGAACAGTGACACAGTAACAAATCAACAACAAACGCAGAGACCGACCACAATATAAACCGCACACAGGCTGGGCTGTGGTTATTTAATAAAGACTCAACAAACTGGATGTCATTATCAAATCATGTACAACGAATGTTGACGATGATGAAAACCTAATGGGAAATTCTGGATTATTTAAAACCAATTTAAAGTAAATTATAATCTTTAATTGTAAATATTGGTCATAAAAATACCATTTATTTAACAGTTTTCTTACTGAGAAAGTCAAGGCCCAGAATTTGTACCACCAGTCATTAGATGATGCAGCTCAGACAGGAGGCCACCATTTTCCTATTGATAATCTGAAAATAATGTATTTTCAAAACCCACTTCCCTGTATAAAGGAAGAAATACATTTCACCCATTTTTCTTCTTCTTTTTTAAATATATTAGCGTACAAATATTGTGTATTTCAATCTCTAGGGCATGACATCACTATCACCACACGTTCACGCAGACTCATGGTCTACATAATTATTTTACAGATAACACACAAATATAGGGGAACAGTACACACACCATGTCATTTTTATTCGATTACGATAAAAGACGTCTTCATTAACGACTATTCTTTCACCTCAGTGTGCGTAGTGACTCTATATTCGACGCTTCTGTTGTTGTTGTTATGTAATAAAATGTAACCTAGATAAAAGAGAGACGATGTAGTGTGCACGACGTATAAGTTTGACGTCATTACTCCATTCCCGCTCCACAGTGCCAGTCTCTTAAGCGGCCGCACCCAGTGCCCATCTCCTCCCAGGAGATTAGACGCGGAGTAAATAAGAGACATTGCCTTTAAAACGACATTGACAGTGTTGGACAATGAAAGGAAAACGAACCTATGCAGAACCAGTAACGTCCTCCTCTGGTTTTTTTAACCGCCCAGCTTCCGAACCTCTTCCACCTGATCCCAGACTCCGCTCCTCAAACTGATGCTCCGGCGTCTGGTGTCAGCCTCTCCTCTCCGGGGGCTGAGAAGGAGGAGGCGGAGGTGTAACCGGCTGCGGCCCAACCCCTCCACTGGCCAGGCTCTGCCAGTGGAGAAAAGCGGTGAAATGGAGAAAAGGGAAACAAGGAGCTCTTCAATTCTTCGCCTTTCCCTTCGCACTCCGGTGCGGTCAAAATGGCTCTGTTGTCTATCTGTCTTCGGTAAGGATGCCCCTGTTGAACTGAGCCGGTGACATCATCAGTGAGGGAGGTAACAGCTTCAATGCAGTAGATGAGAATGAAAGAAAGGGGAGGAGAAAGAGGAGGAAGAACAGAGGGAGCAAAGGTAGTGCTTTAAGACCAGGGCCGTGCCCTAAATTAAAAATATATATTTATAAAATAGCATATTGGCCTGGTTTGACTTCTGTCATACATTTGTTTGGTCATTTAAACGTTCTAGAACACGTATAGTACACACCGAACACGAAATAAATCAATTTCCTCATTTTGAAAGTTAAAGTTAACATTACATTTTAAGCGTATTAAAAAAAAAAAACATGTTTTCCTCGACAAGTTCGAGTTATACATTTTGAATAGAATCACTAAAGTAGTGAATAAAAACAGACCACATAGTCAATGTCATGAACCACTACATTCAATAACAACGTAGTGTTCAAAACGTAATGAATAAAGTTATATATAATATATATGTATGTCATATAAATGACGTAAACAAACGTTCCTTATCCTAATGAGTTCTGTACCCCGAAATGTTAATGGTCTATAAACCTAGTAGAGCTCTGTGATCTACTCACTCTAAGGCTGATTAGTGGAGCACAGAGTTCAAAGCAAACATGGTGAAGTGGCATTTAGCACTTATGCTACACACAAGTGAAACAAACTACCACCCCAACTGAAATCAGCTGCAAAGTCCCTGTTAAAAATCTTTGGTTTTTATTTTCCCATTTTTCAATGGCATTTTTATATAAAGTACATTACGTTTGCCTTTAAATAACGCTGCCTCGACCTTACTGTGCCTCTGTCTGTAACGTAATAAAAAGGAAATTTTAATTGGCTATTTCCGTTATCCCTCGTTTCAAGAGACGATAAAGAAAAGTGGCGGAAACGGCGGAAAGAACGACAAGGTGTAAAACGTCTCTCCCTAATGAGATGTTGGTCCAGTATGTCGAGAGCCATTGAGCTGATTAACGCGAGGAGAGCGGGTTTAACAATGTCAATGTGACCTTGTGAAGGTGACTGGTGCCACACCACTGGAACAGTGATGAACAGTAATGGTTTAATGGCTGCCAATCGATAGATTTCCTTTTCTCCGCCATCCATCTCAATGCTGCATAGTAAAGCAGTGGCAAACACGAAGCAACGCCACCAGCTAAGTAATGTCGAAGGGATCAAAACTGACAATACATTCAGATAAAGATGGACTTATTCTATTGGTTTTAAGTGCAGTCCAGTTTTTGCTAAGCTAATTTGTCTCATTTAAACCCTGTTTTGTGGCCTTCGTATCACAAATTAATTCCATCTAAACCATTTCTTGTGAGACGTTGTTGTTTGTGTTTTACTTGAAGACTTAAACATAGTACAAATCTCTTTTCCAGTTTTAAAAAAATCTATAAACTGTTTCTTACCTTTGCTAGCAGTTTCATAATTTTATCTTAGCAATTTGGACAATTTCTCATATTTTACCCACTGAAAAAGAGACATTGATCTCAAATACGTTACTATGTATATACCTCTCTAAAGAGGGAGTGCATGAAAGATCATCATTTAAGGGAGGAGTGTCAAAGATACGGCCCGAGGACCAAAACTGGCCCGTGTGGGGGTTCAATATGGCCCGCTTGCATGTTAGTGATGTTTTGTCAAATATTTCATTAAATATCTATAATTTCTAATATATTTTTACTTGTTTGCATCAAAACAAAGGGGAAAATATTATTTATTGATTATGTTATGGTTGTCCTGGTCCGGCCCACCTGACATCTGTATGTGGCACCTGAACCAAAATGAGTTTGACACCCCTGATTTAGGGTGATTGGGATTGGTACTTCATTATGACATAGTATGGATTGTGTTAATGGCGTTAGCTGTTAATGTGCTAATAGTATATTAGTGGACTTGTTGGGCCACATTTGGCCCCCAGGCCTTGAGTTTGACACATGTGCTTTAAAATAACCCAAGGAATCATTTTGAATGATTGTTATTTTGTGAGCGTATCCTGCGTACTTTGGCTTCAATAAAGGTTAGGGCTTTTTTTAACGGTGGCATTTTGAGCTTTTGAAACAAAAAAAAAAATCACTGATATATTTACTTGACTTTTAGCTAGTGTACCTCCTTAGCAGTCTTTTTTTATGTGACATTTTACAGTTGTATTTGGCTCAAACTTTTGGCTACTTTCAACTTTTCTTGTTGTATGTTTGGCTGTTTCTCACCTTTAGTTATATCTGTACTTTTCCTAACAAGGATGCTAACACCTCACATATTCTTAAATGTATAAATATACCTGTATGAGCCGAAATAGCAAATTTATATTTATATTTGAAATAGCACTGGCTAAAAGGAAGATGAGTAATTGTGGATTTAAAAGTATTTTTGGAGAGTATACTGACCCCTTAGACCCTTGGACCCTGGTCTGTGACACGCTAGCTTACGTGGACCCTGGTCTGTGACACGCTAGCTTTAGCTGCTGCAACAGTCTATGATACTGAATAGGAACTCTATGTGTTGTAGTAGGATACTCTGACTAATCACGTTTCCACTGGAGTGAAACACAATTCAATTGTTTTGTGACCTTGCTCTCTCTCTCTCTCTCTCTCTCTCTCTCTTCCCTTCTTATATGGACAGTATTGATTGATGTGCCCCATCTCTCTCAGGCCCTTGCTGTCTCCCTCATGTCTGTCTCATGGCTGCTCCTTTATCTAATTAATTGTAATTACATTTTCGAGGTCTAATCCATGCTCAGTCTACTTATGCTTCAGAAAAATATGAGCAAGTGAGAATCCCCCCCAAAATTAAAACCGAACAATGACCCCGCTAAAACACCACAAACGGTGTCGCATCATTCCCTCCTTTTTTACGCGCTGAAGAGAAACAGAACAACAAGGCTAAGGCTCCGTTCTGAAAAGCAGGCACAACAGGAAATGCCTTTAGATTATTTAGGAGGACTAGCGTTCCCTACAGGAGATGGAGAGACGCCGTGGTATTGTTTCTGCTCAGTCTTCCAACTCTGCTCAGCCCTGTCTAAATTCAGTCACACAGAAGCTTGAATAATTTAGTACCAGAGCGAGCCGCTGCCCTGAGCTCAGAGTGACACACATGTTTTCTTAACGAGATTCTAGCTGTGTTTTCGTCAAAACGTGTGGAGATAAATAAGCACATCCACCACGAAGGACACCGAGACAATAACGCCATGAAGTAAATTATAAATGTAAAGATAACTCACGGTATGTTTTGATGTTACTATTTGTTTCAGAGTGATTAACTCCGTGCAATGAGGAGGAGAAACGTAAGGAATCCTACTGGGAGCTAACAGTAGGTGGCAGCACTGCAAGTCAGGCAGTACAAAGCATCAGGTAAAGACTAAGGAGGACATGAGGCAAAAAGTGTAAACACAATTAGCTTAGCCTGGCCTTAGTGGAGACCAACTACATTCATCTCAAAAATAAAACTTTTTTCAGGTGTAATGTCTTTAAACATTTAGAATGTGTTGTCATTTAACTGTTGCTAATGCCGATAAGTGAGACAGTCCTAATGAGAAACTGAGAAATATTTTCCCTTCTGCCATCGTCACAGCAGGTGGACGTCAGTTGTCACTCAGTCTGTCCACCACAGCTCCCAGCAGGCCATTAGGAGTTTCCCCATTTACAGTACTGACCAGTTCACTCATGCTATTGCTAAAGCCGTTAGCCAACAAGTGGGGATGTCTGATATTAGCTTTTTGGCGATATGCCAAATTTTGGATTTCAACCAATACATTTAGCCATTTTTCCCCAAAATTATTTTCAGGTCACATCACATAACTCTTGTTGTGGTATTAACACCCCTACTTTTTATTGTGAAGCCCCACTAATGGCATTCCACAAATTAGCATCGTCTGTACAAAATACAATTTTAAAGCGGTTCCAGCATGTCTGGCGAATTATTGGGTTTTCACTATCGGAGGAAAAAACGATAACGATTCTTTACAATATTACTATTAGTGGTTCCATAGAATAGCGGTTAGCAAGCCTGCCTCGGAAGCAGAGAGTCCTGGGTTTGATTCCCCGAGGAACCACATGCTTGATAATGTTAATCTTCTTCTCCAAGTCGCTTTGGATAATAGCGTCTGCTAAATGCATAAAAATGTAAATATCACATAATTACACTAATATCTCTACCAATAAGGTCTCACCATGGGTTCCTTTTGGACTAAAGCTGAGATGGCCACCACCTTTATCATCGAATCAATGTTCCTAGGCACATGTGGGATTAGAGGTTTCTTTAGTGATGCTTTTCCATTGATTAAATCATTTTTTACAGATTTGTTTTAAAGGGCGGCTTAGGAGCAAGAATCAATTCTAGCGTGTCTGAAAAAAACCTCAGGCACACACGGAGAACCATAATGAAACAAAAAAAAAACATTACTTACCACCAGGAACGGAACTGGTCTCCTTGGTGGATAAACAGTAACTACTGTAGAAAGAAAGGCTTTTTAAGGTTTGTTTGTTGTAAAAAGACAAGGAAAATGCAGACACCTGGGGACAGTTAGGTAATCATCACACCTCAGGGTGAGACGCAGGACAACCTGTTATGTACCTCATAGATACTCCAGGTTGACGGACTCAGATGTAGGAAACATGGCACGTGAGCAAGGAGGAACGAGGTTTGTTAATCAGTGCGGTACAGTTCTTCCAGGTAGGGGACGTCAGGGAGCTGTGGCGAATGGCGGATCCCAGAAGCAGCTTCAGTCAAATTGATTACCGGTAAATGCAGTATTTACAAACAGCAGTGGGTGGTGAATCTTCATTGACGGTCTCCAAAAGGTGCTGACAAGGAAGCAAAAATGAGAACTACTAACATAGCAAAGCACCTTGCCAGACCTTTCTCTATGAGTCACTATGTACCGCATGGCACTGACGCCCTGTGGAGCTTGAGCTTATATCACCCTCTGTTGATTGGGAGGAACCACCTGCAGGTGCGCAGCTCATCAGCGTAGTACTCACAGCACAGCTGTGAAGGAGGAGCACCCGGCACCATTCACACCAAAATGTAGGAAACCCACCACAACTAAAATGTTGTCAAAACTTAAATAAGTAAAATAACTATACTACAGGGGGTCAGTTTGACTCTTGTTGTCTAAATAATCCAACTGAAATGAGGATTGTTACTACTGATATACTGAACTACGATACTTGGCTAACTTGGCTAAATAAGTCTAGCATCGAATGCTAGTCATATTTAACCCTTGTGTTGTCCTTTGGGTCTAGCTGATAATATGCCTTTGTGTGTGTGTTAGCAAGCGTGCGTGTCCGGGCTCCTAACTTTCCCTCATACCCTGATTCTGGGGCAAGATGGAAACACATTGCAAGGGGCACATTGCACATTGCACATATGCTGGGAGTGTACAAAACGCGAAGGACAACGGTACGGTTAACTTAGCTTTGCTATGTCTGATCCTGCATTTCTCTCTAGAGTAAAAGTATCAAAAAGAAATTAGCCAAACAACACCGACACCTTTTGCATTGCTGAGGAATAGTTTATTGTAGCGCTCGGTTAAACACATTGCGACAACATTATTGGCTTAGGTCTGACGACGGGAGGAAAAAGGCAAGACAGAAAAAACGAACAAAACAAAACAAAGTTTAAGTGACAAAGCATTTGGTAAAGCACGTTAAGCTACATCTTTACTGACATTTCACGGTACACCACTAGCATAGTGGTCACTTCAACAGTTTTTACCACAGTCTTCTCAACAGCCACAGGGAATGACTTGCTTTGGATGGACAGGCTTAGTGGCAGAAAAACAAAACACGCCCTTTGACGCTAAATTGAAATACACATAAATATATTTTTATATATATATATATATATATTAAAGACCCTTTAAATAATAATGCCCAATGATTATTTTGCTGAAATGAAGACAATACAGCACAGAAGTTGAAGCCAGCTCGTAGAATTTGCAGGTAAAATTCAAAAAACCAACCTTAGTGTCATGTTATGATGGAATATCACTATTAAAAAGTTTTCTCGATTACAACACTATCAAAGTAACAAATTACAAACATGACGAGTGTTAGCCTGACATGGAGCAGCACCGTTTAATGCTAGAGTCACAGTACTGAGAGTATAGCTTCATGAGAGTACCTTGATATGTTGCATTTGCACAGGACATAAGGGAACGGACTTCAACAGTCGTGAAGCCTCTGTGACCCTGCCCAACACTGTATTGCACAATACCTGGTATTATCAGTTATTAACATCATTATGGCAATGTGACGTGTGAGAATTCTCACTTACAACAAACCTTTAAAGTATCTACGACCCTAAGTAAAAGAGACCTAGTACTTAAGTAGAATAATAACGCTCTTGGGTGATGACTACTAAAGTTTAAAGTATTTCGCGAATCAACTCAATACCTGTAAGATATGCTTATGTTTCTGTTTTTGCAATTTCACAAGCGGACTAAGAGAGTTTTTTTGAGAAGCACTACTGATGTCACGTTCCAGTAAGTCAAACATATAAAAGTCAAATATTTATATCTGACAAATTTTCCCCATTACTATACCGTGGTAATTAACACAAAGGCAGATTTTTTCTTATATTTTTATTTGTGCAAAATGTTAAAATGCCTGTTTTAAGGAATTGTGTAAAACACTCCAGACACTACATTATCAATAAATAAATAGTTTCGTGCTCTGTTATTGAATATACATAGTGATGTTCTAACTAAAATCTCCCAAATATTCAATGAAATAATTGGGAAAGTTTTGTAGATGTGGGTGCTAATACACCTAAATTACCAGTTAGAGAGAAACCATTAAAAATAAACCTGTTGGTCTTCTTGTATCAGGTAAAGCATTGTTTCCCAAAGACTGGGTCGCGACCCTCAGGTGGATCGTAAGGGATTCTTTTTTGTGGGCCGTCTCGCATCATGTTCCCCAGGAGTTTACAAATAATGTCTATTGACTTGGGTCGCGAAGGTTTGGGACTTAAAATATTGGTACCCAGAAAAAGTTTGGGAAACACTGAGGTAAAGTATTCCCATCAAATTTAATGGGAATTACGTTCAGGAGTATATGAGAGGAAAGGGTTAGGCTGGTTTAGCATAAGTCCAAAACGGAACTGCTACTAGCTAGGTACCCTTTCAAATGTGTGGTTTACATCTATACAGTTGTGAACAGGGGGCCCTCAACGTACTGTACATAAGTACCTACGTCACTCACCCATGCTAACAGTGTTAACATAATCTCAGACAGGCGTGGGCAAACGGGCTGTATGTGGGCCCCGGGCCGTAGTTTGTCCATGCCTGATCTAGGACATCAAAACACCAGAAGAGTCTGGAGCCACAATGAAGGGCAAAAAGCTCCCGACAAAAAAACAACACAAACGAAAGACAGTGAATGCAGCACAATCCAACGTACGGCGTACAACTGGCGAATGTAAACGTAAGCCATGTATAATACCACGTGACGACCAATTTGTCTGCCCGCCATATAATTCCTGTGCGAACTTTGACGAGCTTCAACACCGTACATCGGAAAAAGTTAAGATTTTCAAAATATATTTTCATGAGATGGCAACGTGACCATGAAACGCTGTAGGTTGAGGTTGTCGTAAACTGAGGACCCCCTGTATTTGGACAAATCGGTGACATACATGTGTAACAAGACAAGACGTTCCCTCACAGCCAATTCAATTTGTTTCCTGGTTTGAGCCGAGCCTGTAAACTATCTCTGGAACGACTGCGCAGAGACGTCTCCCGTTTGCCTGAAAACTAAAAAGACGAACAAGCATATTTCCACCAAATCCCTCCACAGTGACAAACACGGGAGCTCGTTCCCAGGCGTGTCAAACATTCCGATTGAAAGGCTTGACAACTGAGGTGTAGCTTCCTCCCACTGAGTCACTGAGGCACTACTTCTTTCAAGGAGGCCAGGGCTGAATGGATGCGGACATGAAGCCTGTTCTCAAAGTCATACCCTGTGAAATCCTCCTAAAACAATACCAAAAAAAAAAAAAAAAGACATTAAAGTTTGCACACGTGCAGTATCAATATCTATCAATCTGCTAATGACTGAGGTATCTTTTCTTTTTGATGTTGCTAGTTTAAGACTGAATTAATGCCTTGTAACGTAATATGTAACTAATTTGGATTAGACCGCGTCATTAGCATTTCATTAGAAATTTAATTAACCACCTCTGCGTACGAGCACACTGCACATCTCCCTGTAGGAGTCGAAATCACGGCCAAGTTTTCTTTCATGTTTTTTCGTAATATTTGTGATTCATTCAAAGCAAAGTAAATGAAAGCAGCCGTTTTACTGCAAAGCAACGCCCTCTGTACCTTTAAGAAGACCTACCTTGATCTGAACATGAAGTTTTTGTGTATTTTTTTAATATATTTTCAAAATTCATCAAGTGGGCCGAATTGAACTGCCTAGCGGGCCGATTTTGGCCCCCGGGCCGTATGTTTGACAGCCCTGATTTATATGGAACACAACCGTCGGGGTGTAGTACAACTGCACAACTGACTGAGCCACAGACACCCCACAATGGAAAATAACTAATCAAAATAAAGACTTTTTTCAATGTGTGTATTTCCTTCTTTGCTCCCACCCTGCAATTTCTTCATACCCCCTAAAGGGGGACCTAGTAGATGAGGTAAATGTGGTAAAGAGGTCACACTCAAATACAATTTTGTCTTGACATTAATATTTGATTTTTTTTAAAATTATTTTGGAATCCAGTTGTGGGCCAAATTAGACTGTTCGGTGGGCCACATTCGGCCCGCGAGCCACCAGTTGATAACTACTGCCCTGAATTGACCATGTGAATATAGGTTAATCTAACTCTGTGGAACTTCATCAACTGGTGACCTTCCTTCATTAATTGTGACCTTATATAGTAATAATAAATGTATCTTTCGTATTCCACTAAAAAAACATCTAAAAACACAAAACTGAACCAGTGTCCTTAAACTATTTGTAGTGCTAGAAATTTAATTTAAAAATTTAGTTTTTCACAGTTTCACAGGCAAATGTTCATTTTTAAATATAAAAAAAAAAATTTTTCATAAAAAATAGATTTTGAAAAGTACTTAATCTTAAGTAAATTATAAAACTAAAAAAGAAAAACAAAACAGCATATCAATATTTTACCTTGGCTTGAAGGAGTAAGGATCTTCCCTTTCCAACTGCCTGCATTGCAACCCAACAAATAAAGAGTTGGTTAAAAAGCATACACTCTTATCAGATATTAACAAAGAGTGTGTATAAAAAAAAAAAATACAGACCTCTGATTGTGCAAGTAGTATACATCCCAGTTCATAGACAGCATACGGCTGAACGTAGGAATTGATCTGCCGTCCATACTCATCTCGAGCAGCCAACTGGAACGACTGGACGTCAAACAGAGGAGCAACTTTTTAACAGTGTGGCATCTCACAGCAGCACCATGTCAATCAGGACGGCACACTGGTACCTGGAGAGCATCTCTCATGTTTCCAAGGCATTTATGAATAGCACCAAGAAGCAGATGTTTCAGTCCACGGCACAGAGAATCGTCTAATCTCTGTAACACTGACGACACAGGACAAAAGGGAAGACGTCGTCACGCACAGCGGATAACAAGGGGGAAAAAAAACAAACAACTAATTTGAATATGTAATAATACATCAGTCGTACACACCCTGATTCATAACCTGCAATTTAGATGACGAGCAGTTTGGAAGTGCCTTCCACAGATACAGCACCTCAATGACACCAAGGATGCACAGCTCTCTGGAAGCACAGATCTTCCTCAGTCTCTCAGCCTGGAAATATCAATGACATGGAGAATAGAAAATGGGTTTATAGGGTATATATTTTTTTATGTAATAATAATGAAATTAAAACTTAATAAAAAACACACTTGCTTATATAGAATGCTTAGATAGACAGACAGATAGATACTGTAGATCGACTGATACTATAGATCAGAGGTGTTAAACTCAAACCACCAGGGGGCCACATAAACAAAACAGTTCCCCTTGAAGGGCCGGTTGTAAATGGAAGACTATATACTGTAGATCAGGGGTCACCAACCCCTGGTTCGTGGACGAGTATCAGTCCATAGGTCATTTGGTAGCGGGCCGCAGTGGGACACAGTAAAAAAAAAAAATATTTAATTTTTTACTAATTTACTTCACTCAAAGAAAATCAAGACCATTTCATAACCATTTACTTTTTTTAATTTAACGATAATAGGTCATGGGTAACGGGTGGTACTGGCTGGGGGCCACATTTGGCCCCCGGGCCTTCCGTTTGACACATATTCTGTTGATTAGATAGATCGATCAATACTGTAGATAGATCGATCAATACTGTAGATAGATCGATCAATACTGTAGATAGATCGATCGATCAATACTGTAGATAGATCGATCGATACTGTAGATAGATCGATCAATACTGTAGATAGATCGATCGATCAATACTGTAGATAGATCGATCAATACTGTAGATAGATCGATCGATCAATCGATCGATCGATACTGTAGATAGAGAGGCTCCAGCAGCAGTACAGCACCAATACAACAAGAACAACATAAGAATATATTCAACACAATACAAACAACAGTAGCAGGACTTCATCGAAGAATAGAGAAAAACCTGAACACTGGTTATTAGTAAATAGTATTAGTATATAAGTAGATATTAGTAGTAAAGTAGTATTAGTAGTATTAGATGTAGGAGCAGTAGTAGTAGGTTATTAGATGACTATTGTTGTGTGTTGTGTTTATTATTGCCATATCCATTATTAAATGATATTAGGTTTGTGTACACTAAAATATACCCCGTTACCCCTATGGTATATAAATAGTGTGAATAGTTAAGTATATAATTAACTAAAGTTATATCGTTATATAGTTCCAGCAGATATAAGTGTATGAGGTGTATGGTATGAGGTGTATGGTGTATTACAACCAGATTTATACAAGCATTATTTCTAGTTACTGTACATTATATCAAATATTATAGACCTATGGATGTACGCATATATAACTAGATACTATACTATAAATTATATATAATTTCCTGTAGAAAATTAGAAGCTATAACATAACTGGGATGTTAAATTATATATAATAATAATAATGATAATATTGCTTTAAACTTCTAATTGTGCAACATTATTAAAATATATAAATGTATAAAAGAATGTTTAAATGCAGAAGATGCGGTCAAAGAAAAAAAACCCCACCCTTTTCACAGCGAACTGCTCGATCTGGTTGTTTTTCCTCTTGAAAAGCTTCTGCACATCTTTAAACACTCGATTCGCTCCATCCAGGTCACCGGAGGCTCCCTGACAAACTGGGGGAAAAAACGGCAGAAAGACTCAACACGACAAGGGTTTCAAAACAACACCAGGGTGGGAATATTTGATTAGTGCATGTCAGACTCACTGCCAGTCAAGTAGGCGTAATAGCACTGTGACCAGCAGGACTCATTCTTCAGCCTTTCAAACGACCGGTGCGCGTCTTCAAAATTCATCTCGATCATGCTACACCAACCTGTCGCAAACAACACCATGGAAACAGGTTTTACTGCAAGGTGGATATTCTGAGACCTAAACTGAAATTAACGTTTTATTTTCTTTTTGTTAAGTCGCCAGGCCAATAACAAAACCCACCCCCAAAAACACAATATATCTTCTAATTTATAATGGAAGTCGGTGATATCATAAAATGTGTAAACACTTGTTACAAAAAAAAAAACTGAATGAAGAATTTTATTGGCAGTTAAAAAAATATTTCATTCGAAGAATTAGGATTTTTTTTAAATTCCATATATTGATTTAAAGAAAAGTATTTTTCATTTTGATTTTCTCCCAATTACAAACAAAAGCCAGAGCAGCCTATGGTTGTTCTAATATCGTTTTGTAAAAACAAGTATAAGTACGAGGGTTTTTCATTTGTGTATTTGCCTAATTCTGGTAAATTGCTGTACCCACACCACAGTGAGGACACCAGAACTTTTTTAAATTAAATTTCATTTGAAAACACCATCTCCTGAGTGTCACATAAATGATTACTTTCCAGTATCTATGCAGATACTGGTACTGTTTTCGGTGCTCGCCACTTAGAAAGCGTTTTAAAAAAAGGGCAAAAACACAATGAGGAGAAAGAGGACAAGTCCTTAGCTTCCAATATGTAAGACATTTTATTTTTTTTAGTAATGGAAATGGTGAAAGTATGTGCTTATTTTGACAGGTAATTCAGTTATGTGCAGACCTACAGATTTATCAGGCCAAATATTGTGATCCAGATACTTTAGTATTGCATATATCGTACTTTTAACTACATAAGAAAACATACCGATCTCATAGAGGCACACATGCTGAATCTCTCTTTGGTCTGATGCGAGCTCCAGCGCATCGTAGAAACAGGCCAGGGCACTGTTGATATGGCACTGGAGACAGAGCACAGGACATGTCGAGGACACGTACTTTGCAAAGAGCTGCTAAAAAAAAGGCCTAACCTGCATTTTATTTTAGGGAACATTTTTTCAGATTTCAAGCAATACAACCATAAAGAACTGTTTTAAAATTCATGGATCTGACAAAGTTTACTACAGTGATGGGTACTTTTTTTTTTTTTTTTACCCCGTTACTCAGGTCGTGGTACTCACCTCGAGCCTCTGAACCCGTCCTTTAAAGAACATGAAGAGCGATGAGTTGGGGTACACCACTGACTTCCTCTGCAGAATCGCTTTGGCTTCGAGCAGCCCTTCATGTGTATCGGAGCCGTCTAAAGCAAAGAACGGCAACACCACCGTGTGGTACCACAAGAGGGCCAACCTGAGGACGGGAAAAACGCACTCGTCAAGAGGTATTTCGCGCATTTTGTGTTCATCCAATGGGAGCTGCCCTAGCCCCCAACTGACACCCCCGCAAATTGAAATACTATTGAGAACCTGATAACGTTTTTTTTTCTGTACAAACCACTGTATGAGGTGCTGCCACCTAGTGACTGGAGGCTTGTCCTCCGTCCTCCACCCCAGAGCTAACCAAATCCTCTGCTAACTGTAACAACGATGATACTAGCTGAGCCTACTCACGTAGCCAGTGGTGCCTTCATGTCCTTGCTTTCACTGGCATACATTAAGGAGGACAGACCCTGGAGTCGGTCGCCGGGAAAGCCCAGCAGATTGATGATCTTGAGCAGGTGCGGCGGCACCATGGAGATGCACAGATGAAAGAGGCCGTAGCCGAAGCTAACCGAGCCCTTGAGCCGATCCAGGGCCTCGGGGGTCACACCGTTGTCCACTGGTGAGTTGTGGTTGACGTTATCTGCAGACAGTGAGTCCTGGTTCACGGAGGACCGGCGCTGACAGGACTCCTGCAGCTGACTGATGTCACTGTGGCACTTGTTGTACATCTTCCAGGCTTTACGCAGGATCCAGCCTCCTTTGATGTAAGCTGTTCAGAAACATACAAAGAACAATTTCTTGAAGGCGAACGCAAGATTTCCCAAATGCCCTCCAATGTCTCCAGATGTGAATGTACACAAACAAAAATCATAATATTTTATTTTCAGAAGACTAAAAAAAACAACAATTAAACTTTTCTACAGTGTCTTGATTTTCCACCTGAATAGATAGATAAACGGATGGATAGATTGATAGATGGATGGATAGATGATGAATGGATGGATGGATGGATGATAGATAGATGGATGGATGGATGGATGGATAGAAAAGAACACCTGAAACAGTGGATTAAATGTGCGTTGTTACTATAAGACTTGCAGTATATGAATTATTACTACAGTATCCCCGACTATCTCTATGGTATCAAATTATAATACAAATATATATAAATATATACACATATATAAATATATGTATATATGCACACACCTATAAATATACAAATACATAAATACATATAATTATTAAACAATTTCAGCTGGATATAAAGACAAAGTGTATTACAACCAAATATTATACCAGAATATTACAATATACAGTATAATCTAGATAGATATATAGACACATGTCAGGAGAGGAGGAGGAATATCTGAATAGTGTGTACATATACATACAGTATATACATATACTGTATATATACATATGTACATATGTGTATATATATATATATATATATATAAATATATATACATATATACATACATATATATACACATATATATACACATATATATACACATATACACATGCACATATACACATGTATGTATGCACATGCATGTGATAGCAGGTATAGCACGGGTATACAGATTGTTATTATTGCAGTTATAGCTATGTGGACACAACTACACAAACTTCTTGTTTGTTTCAAGTAACTTAGCTTTTTGTTTACCCGAAAGTTCTTGTTTGACAAATGACAGCACGGCAAGGTAGACTTGGCAGTCGGCGACGATGATCTGCCTCTGAAGACGGTCGACCACGACAATGCCTGATCTCTGTGAATCCATCTGAAACACACACACGCACACAGTAAAGATTGACATTCAGTGAGCAGTTCATTCGCTTTCACCCTGCTCCTTTCTATCTATTCTCACAGAGAAGACATCTGGACCTGGACCTGCTTGACAGTGGTGATTATGATTCATACTCTTTACAGAACACATTTCATCTTCAGGCATGATCTCATCGCATCAGATTGACAATCTCCTAGAAGGTGCTGGCAGCCACCACTCAACAAGGTTTGCACAGCAAGACACTCTCGGTTCCCTGTAGAGCTGGAGCTCATGTCCCCCTCTGTTGATTGGAAGGAACCACATTCAGGTGCACAGCTCATCAGCACTGAAATCAGCACAGCTGTGAAAGAAGGGCACAGGCAGGCGCCTGAGCTCACACACACACACGCTCACACATACACACATAGACAACCAAAATGTACAAAACCCCCACACGGTGCTTTCAATGTTGTTTGTTGAAATAATAACCCCAATCTTTTCACCGGAATGGTCTTCTAGTACTGACTCACTTCTGGTTTGAAAATTGACCTCAGTTTTAAAGCAGACTGTTGACAACAGGTATTTGCTTCTCATCAGAACCTCCTCGTTCTAGCCTCAGTTTTAAAGCAGTATGTGCTTCTCATCAGAACCTCCTCGTTCTAGGAGAATTTAAAGGAGGTCACACATGCCCCTCAGAGAGAAAGGAAATATGTCTATTTAAATGTGTCTTTACTTACACTCTTCTTTATCTTGTTTTTGATTGTCTCTATCACTCCAGCGCTGTCACTCTCACACAGTTTTTCAGTGGTCCTCAAGTCGTCACAGGCTGTCTGCATCTTCTCCTCTTCAAATGTCATCATGGCGTTCTGCAAATTGTCCCAGCAAAGGTCTCTGAATACCACAGCCACAATATGTCACGTAGATAAAAATGCACTATCTATGAAACCTATAACATTACATTATATATTACATTACATATATAATAATATACAGATAGTTTGTTCAATGTTGTTGTTTTTGTTTATAACTTCCAATAAACAAATAAATATAAAGAAATACTTTAGTGTTCATTTTGGAGGTAAAAAAAAAAACTGATATTTTTTAATATTGCCCATCACTTTGATGATGATTCATTAATGCATTACTATTATCTAAAAATAAACTCAAGGCAGTGTTTTACAAGGCAGATCTATATTTAGGGTTAATCTACAAGAGTCTTTTAATCAAAAAATATTGAAAAAAATGATTCCAAGAACAGCTGTGTGGGAGGCAATAAAAATGACAAAAAAACGGTATGCAAACTATTACAGGACCAGGCAGCAAACAGTCACAAACACAATGGAGTGACTTTTAATATTGTATTGTTTAGTATTGTGATTTCACTTTGGCTCCCTGTGTAATGTGTATAATATAATTATATATATAATATATAATTTGCTGCACTTATAATATATATAATATATAATTTGCTGCACTGCTTCGTTAATACCCGTGTATCAATAAATGTCTGTGGACATAATGTCAACACTCCCACTGCCTTCAGGACTCTTTAGCAATTGGGGACAATGAATGATTCATATGGTGTTTGAGTGATGGATGGAAAAACAGAGAGGATGTCAGATGGGCAGCCTGTATGGCATCTTGTATTATTTCATGTCCTAATGCTGTGCTGTTTTCTGTAGACCAGGAGAGAATTATTTGTGATTTCCCCATCACAGCACCACCTAGAGATCAAATCTCAAATCAAATCTAATACCGTACACATTGGTTTACTGAGACGTAACAGTTTCATCTGGAATTTCATTCGTCAGCTGAGGAGAAACTCACCAGAAAACTAACAAAACTGGCCCCAAAGCTCATAAGTGGACTCTGACTCCTGTAGAGAACGAGACAGATGTTTCAATGTGTTTTGAGTAAAAAAGCAATCAAATAGTAGCACGTTTTCCTCACATATGAATAATGCGCAAAACAGCAGTCTAGCTAAAATACTCCAAATTAATTTTTTTTAGTTTTATTATAATGTGCAACTAACACCTTAAGCCACACACAACAGTGTTTCTTTTTCCAAAAAAAAAAAAAAAAAAAATCATAGAAAATATTCACTAGCAATTCACACTACACGGACTAAAAACATTTTCTCGTTGTGACTTGTGTGAACTTATAATTTCTAATCATTTAAAGCTAAAAGCACATTTGGTTCCTCCCTTTAAGGTAATACATGCGGCTCATTAAAGTCATAGCTTAGCCTTCCTTCTACAGCAACAGCATATATAGTACAGTTAGCTTCTAGCCTGGGGTCTTGTCAACACTATACGGTAAAAAATAACTAGGAGTTTATTAACTTCAAACTAGCATAGCTATTCATATCATGGAATTAAATTAAAACATTATTTTTTCAATATTAACCTGTCATTCCATCTGCTCTCAATGAAACGAGCAGCTGTACACATGAACAGTACTGTAAATACTGTTTCCGGTTGTAGTTTCAATAATAAGACTTTACACCTTTTGCTTTAAAGACACAGCCTTTAACTCACTGCTAAGTAGCAACAACATGTATTCAAGCAACACAACACAACGATAGTACTGTTTTAGTCACTGCCAGTGTAGTTGAAGACTTTACAGGTTCGTCCTCGGAGACATACAGACTCTTCGACATTGATAAGAGAATGACGACATATTCACCTGTATCTCCTGAAAAGCTCGTCGCTTTCCTTAAAGCCGTTGTTGAGCAGCATGTTAATGCCTTGCAGAGCCATCTCGGCATCGTCTATTCGCTCTGCCTTCTCCTCTACGTGCTGCTGCTGCCTCTGCTGCTCGGGACCCGCCATTGTTTAGAATGCAGGGTCGACCCAAAGCGATGGAGAACACACTGTGATCCTGGTGTTAATCTGAAACAAACCCGCATTGGTTTACTTCCACTGAGAGACCAGAGGGTTTGGAACAGAGACGCGTCTCTGCTCGGCAATAAAAAACATAAAAAATAAAAAATAAAAATAATTAAATAATGTCCAAGATGTGGAGTTGTGCAGACTCCCAGCGTCTCTGCACCTGCAAGGGAGAGGCCACCGACAGCCAGGCTCCGTTACTTGCACTCAGCTCTGCACTTGATGCAGAGATGCAAAGGTCTGAGCGGCCAGCGACACACCAAATCACAGATGAGGAAACCAGCCATCCGTCGCGACGCAGCATCCAGGGCATTACATAATGTAATAAGGAGGATCCGGGCTGCTGTGTGCTGCTGCTGTTCCTTCAGTAACACCACGTACAGTAAACCGCGTCGTGACGTACCGCGCATCACTGGGAGGATGGGGAGAAGAAGAAGAAGAAGAAGCCCGCAGTTAAAACCAAGCTGCATCCTGTATCAGTCCGCAACCCTCAGACATCCTCTCCTCCACACCCACTATATGGAATACTGGAGGCAGTCTTTACCCAGGACTTCCTCTCCACCTTAAAATGAGCGCATAATGCAAAGTGAGCAGACCAGGGGAACCAGGTAAGTGCTTCCAATTAATAGGTACATGTCATGGACGGCTATTTTTTTCCCTAACAAACTTATTTTTATTGGTCAAATTAGAAACCGACGCGTTATTATCTCCAAAAATGACACAAAGTAAAGCAGAAAGGTTACTCTGAGGAACATCCTGTTCCGTCCATGTTCTTCAGTTAGCAGGCTAACGGATAAACAGCACGGTACCGGTATCAGGTTAAAACAAAAGAAAACAAAGCAAAAAATATCTATCAGAAACACGAACTTTTTCATTACAGACAGGTGTTTCACCTTCACATAAAAATTAAAAGATGAAAATAACTTCAACTGAGAAAGAAATGTCCTTTCCCACCCCATGACTCTCGTCTCCTTGTCTTATATTATTATTACTACTGAAAAGAAAATTCAAAAGAATTAGCCAACATTTAAATCGAAAAAAGGTGTTATTAACATTCAATAAACGACAACACTCACGACTACTGCCAGCAGGTGGAGCTATCAAAGGAGCCGGTGAAAGCATCAGCAGACTAAACAGTGAACTGGGACTTTGCTGCCCTCTACTGGCTGAATGCAGTTACTCTGATGCACTCACGATAAAGACGAAGAAAGCTTGGTCTAAAACACACATCACTCGGGGACGAAGTGGGAGTTTTGTCAACAAAACACAAACCACCGTCCTGTGTCATGGTGTTGCTTCAAGTACGCACACAAACGCACCCCTAGACGTCAGTGCAGTGAGTTGTCAACCGGTGAGCTGAGGAACAGAGGCTACGTTTTAGAAGAGGAAACGCAGATTTGTGCTAAAAAGATAAACTTATCTTCTCAAACACTTCACTACTTGTATCCTATTTTTATGTGAGTTATTGTAAATTTTAGCCACAAACCTCCGACACTCACTCACACAAAGGGGGGAGAGACAGTGACAAGGACGACGCGAGCGAGAAAGAAAGGGGAGGGGAGCTGACAGAACAGCAACACAACAAGGAAACTCCACTGCGGAGCCGCAGACGCCTTCATTTTATGTTTTTGAATAATAGCCGCAGCCACTGTGGCTCAGTGTCCCCGCACCGCTGTAGCCACAGCCGCCGGTGGCCTGAAAAACAAGCCGCTTTCTCCAGCGAGTTGGAGCTAAACGCACCGCGACGCGTTCACGGACATGGGTGAGAATAATGAAAAGAGAGAAGGGGTCTTAATTGTAGAATTAGGGGTAAAAATTAGGAGCCGAAGAGGTTGAAGGCCTCTCGTCGTTGCGTAGGGTGTCACATGCTCCTGGTGGAGTCGGGAAACAAAAGGTCGCGGAGATTCGGTGTAATTTTTAAAAAATATGGAGTATTGTTCTACTCGTTTTTAGCCACAGGACGTTTCTTTCTCACCCACAATGGTATTGCTATCACTTTAGCATCTTAGGAACTATTAGTGGCTGCTGCTGTTATGGTCAGTCGAAGACTTCCCTTTTAACGCGTCTCATGGTAAAATGCTAATCACACATGTTGTAATCCTATAAACCCGTCACTGTCACGGCTGCTGTCGCACATTTACGACAATGTCTCCTTTACACGACTTGGTCTTTCTTTCCACAACACTGCAGCAGATGTGATGCACGGTCCCTGATGTGCTTTCTGTGTCTTCAGACTCAGAGCCACCCAGCTCTCCACAGGCGGTGGAGGATGGAGGTGAGGAGGATGAGGAGGAGCTGAGCGGAGGAGAGGAGACTGATCTGAGGTCCAGTTCTGGTCGGGGCTCCCTGCTAACTCGCAGGGGCATAACCCTCAGAGTGCTGCTGAAGGATGGGCTGGTGGAGCCTGGGGACGGAGTCCTGGCCATTCACTACCTGGTATTAACACTAAAACACAAACATAGTAATTGGAGCCAAACAAAAGACTAGAACTCATGCAATAGAGACCCCCCTGGAACCCTGGATTAGACAGCATTAGGACACAGAGCGTGGTATCAAACATATATTGTTCAACTTCCTGAGTCATGTGATCACTGTTTTTGTGACTACACACTGTTGCCATGTGTTTGGGAGTCTGTAGTACACACGGCATAAACGTCTTCTGTCAGATAGAGTATCAGGTGATGGTAAATCAGAGAAGATGTTTTTTAAAGTGACCAGATTTTCTGTATCGATTTTTCCCTTTACAATGATTTTAATTTAATTTAATCCTGCTTTTATTTCTTCTTTGATTACCAATGTTACCAATAACCTGATGTTAAGAATGTAACACAATTGTGTGTTTACTATGCTGACTATTGTTGTTGCTCAATATATTGCCGCGCCATAATATCGCAGTATATCGCAATACACTTATCCCTCTCCTATCGCGGTTGTTGCGTTTCAAGACCCACCGCGAAAAGAGGAAAATCCACGAAGTAGGGACGAGATTGTTTTTATATTATTTACGTGTATATTAACGAACCCTTTACGAACTTCCCCCCCACTGTTATCAACCCTCCCAAGTGTATTACCCTTTCTCACACTATTATATGCACAGTAGAGTTGGATAATGGAACTATAAGACATATATATTATGTAAATAAATTAAATACACGACCATGAAAAACAATGTAAAATACATTCTAAGGCATCTACTAACCATAGTCAAGTATATATCCTGTTCATCAGTAATACCTGGTGTAATTTGTCATTTGAAACCATGTGAAGTCTTTCCTCACTCGACCCAACACTCTGTCTTTTCACAGGGGAAGAACTTTGTTGGAGACCTGTTGAATGACGGAAAGATCCGATGGGTGGAGACGGGTCAGATCTTCAACTCACCCAGTGCCTGGGCGACACACTGCAAACGTCTGGTCAACCCGGCCAAGAAGTCCGGCTGTGGCTGGGCGTCGGTGCGATACCGGGGACAGAAACTGGCCCAGTATAAAACCACCTGGCTGCACAAGTACCAGCCCAGCGCTGACATGGTGAGAGAGGAAGATGGAAGTATTTATCTTTCAAGTCTGTAGGAGACAGTAGGTCGAGCATTACCGTTACTGTTCTGTTGTAGGGGAAAAAACATCTGAGTGTGGATCATGGAAATGTGGATGAAGCCGGAAAAAAAAAACACCTTTCAGAAATAGAAAATGAGAGTGGAAAAGACAGAGAGGACATTTGTCAGAAATGGTTTTTTTTTTCCATTAAGCCGTGACTCCACATTGTTTGTTCTCTGTTCAGTTGTTATTACAAGATAAATATTTGATAATGACAAGACGGTACTCGAGATATGGTGTTCTATTTGTTATTTTATTATAATATTTAATTTTAAAAAAAATTAAATCTACCACTTTTTTTTTATAATTTTCCAATAATTCTTATATTATAAAATATAATAAAACGTATATTAGACACTTTGTTGTCAAATGTAATATTAATTATGAGTACTGTATTCCATTTATTGCTCTCCTAAATGTCTAGGTTTTAGTTTTAGTCACTTGTGCTGTGCCATATTTCATGTCCTTCCTTGTGATGTCAGAGCCTGGTGAGTGAGGAGGACGATGACGAAGACGAAGAAGAAGCAGATGAGAAGAACAAGAATTCGAAACCTGGAGTAAATGGTACGACCCAAGCCTCCTCTCTCCTCTCCTCTTCTGCCCCCTCCTCTCATTTCCTCCCCTCTCTTGTTTTTCTGTGCCTCACAGACGCACTCTTTAAACAATAACAATATAAATTCCATTTTTATTTTCTCAGATTTGGTGGTTTCAAGGCGAACAGACAGAGAGAGAATCCCAGTCAGATATTGCACCTTAGGCACCAGAGATGCTTCCAGGTACTTACTATACTACACTACAAATATTACTATAGTAGCCACGTGTAACCATCATGTTTTCTTCCTTTTCTGGGGGGATTTAACAATGATCTTTATCCACAGGGATCCCCTCACACTGGTGGAGCTGTCTGCCTTCTCGGCAATCAACCGATTTCAGCCGTTCAACGTGGCCGTGTCCAGTAACGTCCTGCTGCTCATGGTAAACAAAACAGACAGTAACTGAGGTTAAACCAGGTACCTGACTAATCCGAGCCCCATCCTCGGACATCAATAAGACTCACTTGTTCCTTCTGTAGGACTTCCATTGTCACCTGACCACCAGTGAGGTGGTGGGATACCTCGGAGGACGCTGGGATACAAACACACAACGTGAGTGCGACGGCTCCGAATAGACGACAGTCAGTATTTAGCGATGGCGCCTTGTGACAAAGGTTATTTTTTTTAAATAGTGGTTGCTGTTTTTTTTTTTTTTCCAGTGCTGACTGTGTGAGAGCTTTTCCCTGTCGCACCAGACTTGGAGACAGAGACGCTGCGTCTGCTGTTGAGGAGGAGGTAAAGGAACTCAGACTTCATTCATTTGTGAAGATTGATCGGATTCAAATGTTCAGTTCATTTTAATTCATTTAAAACTAATTGGGGCAGTGGTGGCTTAGTGGTTAAAGAAGCGGACTTGGGTCCGGAAGGTTTGAGGTTCGAGTCCACCAGCTGTCAAGTTACCACTGAGGTGCTCTGAGCATGGCACTGTCCGCGCTTATAAGCTGCCCACTGTTCACTTTGGTGATGGGTTATGATGTGATATGATTGTGCAGAGGACCAATTAAAAACAAATAATATTGTTTAAGACAAATCTAAACAGAAAGTCATTTTTCTATGGTGCGACGTAACTCACTTTTCACCATAATTTAGTAGTCCCTGAAATCGAGGAAAGACTCCCTGCTCCTTACTTGTTGTTTTTTTTCTATAATTAAATTGGTGTTCCCGCTTCCAGATCTGTCAGAACCTGTTCATGCGGGGTCTGTCTTTGGTCGGTTGGTACCACAGCCACCCACGAGGTCCAGCTCTGCCATCACTGCAGGACATCGACTCCCAGATGGACCACCAGCTCAGGCTGCAGGGCTCCAACAATGGCTTTCAACCCTGTCTAGGCGTCATCTGTGGTCAGTGGCGTCATAAACACACACACACAGAGGACCTGATATGAATAACTCTGTAATCACCTGGGGTTTCTTTTCTCTTCCTCAGGTCCATATTATCACGGTAACCAAGGCGTGGCATCCACAATAACTCCATTCTGGGTCGTACCACCACCTGAGGTAGAGACTCACAAACCACTATTGACATTTGATCCTTTTTATCTCCTAACACTGCCACCGGGGTTTTAGTTTCTACTAGGGATGTGCGATAATATCCAAACTCAGGCCTGCAGGTTGTTTGTGTCTCGTCAGACTTTGTGCACACGTTTATTCCTTTCCGTCATCTCTCTTCTCTTCCTGCAGCAACGGCCAAACGACTACGGCATCCCGGTGGCTGTCGAGGTCACCTACGTCCAGGACAACTTTCTCACCAGTGATGTTCTGAACGAAATGGTACTGGTCACTGAACGGTTACACCTGCTTAAAACATGGACACAAACATGAAAAACTGAACAGTTCTGAAGCAACAGGAACATTAGAAGAGAGGGAGAGAGTATATTTAGAGCAGTGGTTTTCAACCTTAGGGTCGCGACACCACGTGGGGTCGGAAAAAAAAATAATACTGATAAAAATATTTTTTATTTAATTATAATTCATTTCAAAAATGATGATTAAAAAACACCACACACAATCTTAATCAAAATGTTAGCGTCTTGACAGAGTTCCCATTGGTTCGGCTCTCCGTGAGTGAAGTAATTATGATGTTGGTAAAGTGTTTTCTCATCTCTGACATATAATGGGCCTGGACATTAAGTGCTTTATAAGTGAGGAGGAGAACTTTGAAACCTCTCCGAGGATCCAGTGAAGAGACGCTAGGACTGGAGTAAAGTGTTCGTCTTCCCGGTTCCCGATTTCAGATCTATTTTATGAATGAAGCACATTTCAAAACACAGTGAAAACAAATATAAAAAACAGGAAGTGACAGGTCCAGTTAGACATCCAAAGATAAGACTACGGTCACAAAAACTCTATCTCTGGTTATGTTTGACCCTGAGTTGTGTTCCTCACAGATGTTGCTGGTGGACTACTACAGAAGTGCTCCTGACCTGGTTCAGTTCAGCCAGTATTGGTGTCCTGATACCACCATGTTGGACAAGATAAAGGTAAACAACAACAACAACAACAACAACATACAGATTTCAGATCAGATTTTGGTTTCTCTCTGTGACCCTTTCGGTCCTACTCTTCTTCTCCCCGTCTTCAGGGCTCACTGAGCTGCCACGCACCCAAAGATCAGGCCTACTCCCAGATCCTGGAGCACGTCTACAGTCAGCTGAACAACATGCAAAGCTAGAGGGTCTGCAGCGCTCTGCACACGATCACATGGCTGACTCTCCATCTGGATCTGTTCTGTTTAGAACACGCTCTGTGCAGATGAAGACATAAGGGGAAACAATGACCTCATGTACATCATGTCCAGTACAGTGATTCTCAACCACTGTGCTGCGAGAGATCATCAGGTGTACCGTAAATTATCCGATTTCAATATTATTATTTATTTACTGCTAATTATTCTTCTATGAGTGACAGGCAGAACATTTTAATACGCTCTCTCTAGGTGGCAGCAGATAGCTGGTAAACTAAAGAGAATCCGAGATGTTGAAGAAGATTTTCATGCGTCTTTCTTCAATTCCTGGGAGTCTATCAGGGTTGTGTTCAACTAGACAGGACCATGTGCGGTTTGTCATGGGAGTTTTTTTCTAAGTTAAATATGTGCCAGGGCTCAAAGCAGGCTGGGAAACACCGGTCTAGTAAATCATTTCTGTTAGGCCAATAAAAGCACTGGGAGGTTTGCTCAGCAACAGCGCCCCCTGCAGCCGTCACTAGAGTCACTTAATGTCTCACTAAAGTACATTTTTTTTATTCCTCACGGAATACTACACTGGATTTTAATGACTTATTTTCTGTGTTAATTATTTAAATTCCGATAGACTTCTACTATTTGGACCTAATTTTGACGTCGTTGTTACAGATGGTAACCACTTGCTAAAGACAGGGGCACTAACTGACTTGAAGAAAGCAGTGTAGACGTTTGTTTTACTGTAAACTATCATATTATTGCTTTGAAAAACTTCAGTTACACTAAAGGTGCTAGAGCCGTTTTTTTTAGAACTGCAGAACTTTTATTTATTGACGATGAAAGAAATGCAAAGGATAAATATCATGTCTTCAAGAAACCATTGAATTTCATGTCATTTAACTGCTTTAATGGAAAAAAAAGACGGATCAGGTCAACGGCACGGACGTCACTGCCCTAAAACGATACACTTGAAGCTAGGTGTCCGTCTGTGACAGTTTCCTGCGATATCGCAAGCTGTAATTGGAAGTAATATCCACGGGGTCCTCTACTTATGTCGGAGTTCCGCTCCGACGGTGTGACGTAACTCAATTTTTACTCCCACTGTACACAATTATTTCACTCACACTAACAGAGTTGTAACATCATAGTCTGGGACATGAAAACATCAGTCTGACTCACGCCTGGGAGTCATAATGAAGGGCAAAACGTTCCAAAAAAACCCAACACAAACGAAAGAAAGTGAACATGTGTCTTCCAATGTGCTCTAGTTGTGTTTTAACGATGAAAGTAAGTCCATGTTTTCTGTAGTGACATGGACTTACCACATGTGGTGCCGTGACATGAGTCCTGTTGGTGGACTCAGTATCTCTCCTTCCTTTAATATTTTCTATTTATTCTAACCCGTGGATCGTCTTCTATACCTGTGACGGTTTTTGCCTTAAGCCTGCTGACTGTTTGTTATGGACACACACTGGAATTATTCAAACACCATGAGCTTCTCTTTCTTGTTCCTATTAAAAAAAAAAAAAAAATTAAACCACTACAAAAACCTTTTTCTTTTGTTTATTTTAAGAAAGGGGCAGGGAGACGGGCATGTACGTACAAATATTTTGGAAAAAAAAAAAAAAGAAGCAAAACAACATTTACAGTTACATTTACTGTATCTTTTCATAAAAAGGCTTAAATCTAAAGACATACACGTACGGGGTGTAACATAGGTCTACATGCAAAGATGAATTTTAAAGGTTTAAAAAGGTATTGTAAATAAAAAAATAATACTATAGCCAGAATGTTGTAAGACTGATTAAAAAATAAATCAAAAGAAATTAGTGGGACATTTCCTTCTCCACACATATGATTAATCTCACGTCCTCTCAACACACTAGAAGAAACTGCTGTAGTGTCAGAATTGTGCACTCATGCAATTTGTCTTTACACAGGAAAAAAAAAAAGTGCCAACGGCTACAGATGAATCCCACAGTAGCAGAAAAGCCTAGAGTTAGGGTTTGGTTTGTCAGGTTAGATGCAGTACTTGTCCCTCATTTTCCTAAAGGCACTCAAAGGTTCTTTCTTTTCTCTTTCTTTTCAATATTTTGTACATGATTGGCGCAAACAGCGCCTCCTACAGTCCTTGAACTTGATACAAGCGCTGAAACGTAGTCATCAGGGATGTAAACGTGTAGATAAAGACTAGACTGGAGAGAAGGCACGTGACATCCGGTATTGGCTGACCGACACAAGGAATGTAGCAATAATCTATCACAAGTAAAATGCTGAACAAAAATCAGAGGGTCAGTGTGTGTTCAACAAATGCTTTTTTTTTTTTTACATGACGACCGCTGTCGTAGAGATTGCGATGCCAAAATGCTGTGGTAAGTGTGTTAAAGAAATGGAGGAAAAAAACCAAAACCTAATCGGGGGTTACAGTGTTTATATTACAATATATATTTCAAAACATTTTGATTTTGTTAAAATTCCACCCTCAACAATTCAACAACTCTGTTGTTGTTTGCCACAATGTCATGTATTTATACTGCGTTCTGCTGACTACTCAAAACGCTTACACGTTCTTACGGTTTTGTCATTGTCTACTGACAGCCTGGTTGCCACGGAGACCACATATAAACTCTCACATCTGGAGTCCATTCCAAAAGCTACAAAGAAGAAGAAGAAGAAGAAGAAGCTGGTGTCCCTCTACATTCTGACCTAGATTTTAGTGTTTTGGCAGAGGTCACGAGTTCTAGGAGCATTCTGAGGTTGGAATTTTTTTTTTTTTTTCCCCTTTCACCTCCGGGCTTTTTCTTTTTCAAACTGCAGGTGTGACCTTTGGTTAAATATCAAACAAGAGACCAGCCTCATCTGAGCAGATTCAACACCAGCCTGCGTTAGGAGTCGAGGTTAAAGATAAGAACAACAGATGGAATCTGTTTGTTTTTTTTTCACATTCTCGAGCACGTGAAGGACAACGGAAGAAATTTGGGGAATATCTAAACGTTGACTGTTGCTTCTCGTTCATCATTTCTTAGCTCCTCTGTATGAAACTGAAGGCCAAGAAAACGATTCTGCGTTTCTGCGAAACCTGACGGAAAAAGGTGCAACTTCTGCGTGATACTTTGGAACTGTGTGAAAAAGGGTGGATTCAACCCGTCACGTATGAATTAAAACCCTCCATCTATTCTGAGGACCGAGGTGCAAATAAACTTTGTCGTGTTTTTTTCTAACGTTGTAACTCGAGACTAATATGAACCCAATACTGAAATGATAAAGAAGCCACAGATGTCTGACAAATAAAGAAAAAATAAAAACATATATAAATCATTCAAAGTTTTACATAAATCTGAGATTAATATTGGCTCTTTTCTCTTACAAAAATGAACCATGATACCATTTTTTTTTTAAAATTTACACTAAAGCCCTTACAAACACTTCGATTTCCATTTCATTTCAAAAATATTTCTCAATTACACCACCAGGGGGCATCAGAAGACGAATGCCGCACTTGGCAAAAGGGCTCAGTAGAGGTTTTAACTGCTGTGAAGACTATTCTTTTCTCAGAAGAGCTACTCGAGGTTTCAGTGAGTGTGTGTTTGTTTCTGTAGAAATGTTTTTGGACAGTCAGATGACAGGTAACAAAACTCTGTGTCCGCATGAGCCAAAATAAATATTCTGGTTAGGACGTTTGCAATGAAACCACCTTCAACACAACTCTAGAAAAGTGCTGATATTGTGTTAGGATGACACTGGAGCCGAAGTGGAAACTACATTTTTCTGTGAGTCGTCACTTGGTTTCACTTTCTATTCTCTCTCTCTCTCTCTTTTTCTCACTCTTGGACTAACTCTTCTCAGGTCACTCTTCTACTAGTGTGGCAACGGGACCAGAACCTCCACATAGTTGAGGGGGAAGAATCCAGACTGGCCATTGAGCATGCCTTCATACCAGTTCTCATCGATCTGATTGGTCAGCGTGATGATGTCACCCTCGCGAAAGCCCAGCTCTCCTTCGTTCTCCGGCTCAAAGTCGTACAGAGCTTTACAGCTGGGCTGCTCCGGTGCTGGGGGACACAAGGAGGGGGGGAAAGGGACAAACTTGTGCATCAAATTCACTGTCAACCTTGTTAGTGAAGGGTTAGAAGTGAATAAACACAGCGCTTCAAGCGGGGGGGTGGGGTGGGGTGTGGACAGCTTTGTCTCTTCCACTCTGACGTGAATCCTCGGCGTGACTGTTTTTCTCCTCCGTCTTCGGGTCAGAACAGCCTGTGTCTCTGCTGTGACTTCACCCGGAGCTGCAGCGGAGTGAGTCCTGCTGCTAACATAAACTGTCCTCTTTCTGTGGCCAAACAATTTTCTCATTGTATCAAGTTCACCCCACGGACTGATGGGTCGGACAGAGATGGGGAGAGCTTCGGTCGGGCCTTTTCTGTTTTTACCACTACGCTCATTTATGAAACAACAACAACAACAACAACACTGAAGTATATAAATTAAGAGGAACAAAATTAGCTCTGAAACAATGGCTGTATTGTGATTACGTGTTTGTCCCTTTAGAGGAATTCTTTAGGGAAAATAGCTAAGAACAGGGGTTTCGGAACGTTTCCATGTCAAGGCCCCCCAAACAGCATTAGCTTCTGGCTATGGACCCCCTTTACAACTCCCCCCTACGCTAGCTCTCCCAACACAGACACAAACATGAAAAAGAAATTGCCTTGTTTTTTCTTATCACTCTTCCCTCCATTTTTTAAAGGGCCTCTAGTGCCCCCTGATGGCCGCCGTGCGATATAACCACCACCAACAAGTAACTAACTAACTGTAACACTGGTCACACTAGTGTTTACTAAAGGGTGAGAAGGAAACTTAAATCAAAGTTATAAAACAATGACATCCAACACTGAAGTTTGTTAGTTGTTAGTACATGTAAACATTTGAAACATATAACATATAATGTACATACTTTGGTGTTTTTGCGCTACTACTTCTCAATGCTAACCACTAAAAGGCTGTTTAACCAGCTTGTCAGAAGTCATCGCCTACTAAAAGTCTAATCGAGGCCCAAATTCGGCACCTTGCTAATTGCTCTGTCACCGGCATAGAGGCATTTGTCACGGATGCTACTTTGGCAGCACCTTGGTGTGGTATGTGAGTGTTTACCTCTTGCTAGCTAACAACTAAAAACAAGGTGTTAACGCTACCAATGATAATAACCGTAGATTTCCTTTCCAACCCGCATTAGAGTGCCCTCTGCTGTCGCCTGTAGTCATTATCGGAATTTAAATTTTGAATATTCACAATAGAGACAGAAAGGTATCTACGACCAGGGCGTGGACAACAGAAAGAATGCACACAATGCTGTTAACTGTAAATGTACAACGAACAACCAAGTCTGTGTTAAAGTCAAAACCCATCACACTGCACACATTCACTCCTGGCCTTTCCACGGCCACAGCCGGGACTGTGGACACGGCCCACGCAGCTTCTGACTTACACAATCTGGGCTTCCAAAAAGACAATCTGGCCAAGTCAAAAGGTAGCTCTGCTGATGTTACAGGAAAAGAGGAAGAGGCTCAGTTGGCGAGAGGGCATTGAGATAACATGACGCACCACCACACTTCCTCCCACGCACACAGACACACGCATTCACTTTTTCATGGTCACAAACTGAACCCATGAGAGAGACACACACATTCACAATGAAGACGTAGAAGAAAAGAGCTCGCAGCAGACGTCAATAAACGCCTTTGTCACTGAAGTGTTTGATCTGCGGAGCACAGAGGTCTAAACAACCCTGTTCATGGGTTGGGGGGTATATAAATGCCTTTAAATGCAAGATTATGTCCTAAAACATGCTGCCAAGTGACTATTTTGTGTTTAAAACGCCAAAAAGTATTTTATATGAATATTTCAAAAATCACCAAAAACATGCCTTACTATAGCCTTATAGAATATATATGCTAGAATATAGATATACTGTATAGATCAGGGGTGTCAAACATATGGCCCGCGGACCAAAACCGGCCCGCTTGATGAATTTTAAAAATAAAAAAGCACACTTCATGTTCGGAAAAATGTTTTGGAAAATTATATTTCATTATAATTAACCAAAAAATGAATTATAATCACATATAATTAATATGTATCTAATATAATCATACTTCTTTGCATGAAAACAAAAGAGAAAAACATGGACTTATTTTTATTTATAGGTAATTATGTTATGATTGTACTATAGGTCCTATGATTTACGCATTTAGCAGATGCTTTTATCGAAAGCGACTTACACGAGGAGCATTAAGTACATTATGTGGTTCGAATGGGGCGCGCACCCACGACCATCTGCATGTAAGATAGGAGTGTAAGGCGGGCGTGGTAACCGCTACACTTGGAACCGATTCAGGTAAAATTAATAAATTCTCTTAACTTTAAATTCTGCACAATACTGTGATACTAGGTGATGTCATAATGATGTAACATCTGTGACATCATATCGTGTTACCGATCACTTAGTTTATTCATTGGCTGGTGTACCCGTTTGTAGAAGTGTTAGCGAGGTGTGTGAGTGTGGCTGAGACAGAAGTTCTGTTGAGACTGGTCCAAATAATACAGCAGGGGTCACCAACTAGTCACAAAATCCTGTGTTACGTAGGACATGTGGTTTTGTTTTGTAAAAATTTCATTGGAAAAAGATATGTTTTTTTTGGACTGCCCACACCTTCCCCTTTCTATTCTGTTTAACTGGAAATTGAATAATGCTAACGTTCAACAGCAAAGTGTAAGCGGTTTTTTTTTAGTTGCACAACATGTGTTCCTTACCCGAGATGAATGAAGGAGTAGGAGCCATTGAAGCTGAGTAGCCACCGTTTGAATGGTTGTTGTCTTCTCCAAAGTCAAAAATAGGTTTAGGTTTCGGTGTGTATTCCTGTCTGGGTCTAGACTGAGCCTCACTCATCCTGATCAGAGACAAGGAAACATTGAAGTCTGTTAGAATATTCAGGCTAAACACAACTCAATGACCAAACCAGACAAGTACAGTGTCTCACCATCTGTGTGTGTGTGTGTGTTTGTGTCATGCTGTGTTACTGCACCTGTCTCCGAGTTTGTCAGAAAGTTCATCTAACACTTGAACAGCCTGTTTGTGGTACTGCAACTGGGACTCCACCAGAGCAGACAGCTGGCTCACCTGCTCAATCTTTACACACAGGGGAAAAAAAAAGCACATTTGTTACATTCTTTTTTTTAACTACAGTTAACCTACAGTTTACAAACAATGATTCACTCACATCATTCTCCAGCAGGTTGTACATGCTGGTCTCTGCCACTTCCTTTGACTCGTGAAACTTTTCCAGAGCCTGTCGGACCTCCTCATCTGGGATCTTGCCTTGCCGCTTTTTCTTGTAGTCGTAGTCCAGCCGACGACCTTCAAGCTTTTTGAGGTGGTGCTGGAGTATGAGGACAAATATTTATGTCAGCGGTCAGAGTTTTTTTTTCTTTTAAGAATAGTATATATTCTAGAGAGCAAAATAATATTAATTAAAAAAAAAAACCCACGCACACATATATATACATATACACACATATATACACATATATATACACATATATACACATACATATAAATATATATATTTATATACATAAATATATATATATATAAATAGTTGTACCATAACTCAGTTGCCAAACAAGCCAACAATATCATGTGGGCAGCAGGTGATCACTGAGTGACTGGCCTCAGTCCATACTCAGGATATACAGGCCAAAAACTGTTGTCTGATTTTGCAGGTATTTCTTGCCTTGTGCAATTTCTTCTAGCACTTTAACCTCCAGAAGCCAGAGCAATCTCAAAAACGTTGCTTACTCGTGACTTGGAAAACTCAAGGCCCTACTAGGATCCAATCACAGTGACAGTTAGAATATTATTTATTACTATTTCTTCCACCTTTTGACACGGCGGCATTTGATGACACAGCCTAATGTGGTGAAAAGTTACATTCTCAGGCTTGAAGTAGCTCATTAGTGGGGTTACCTGTATTTCTCTGAGGTCTTTGTCATTGAGCCCCTGCAACGGATCAATGAAATTCTGCTTGACGTCGATGTCTAAGGAGTCTTTGACTTCTGCTAATCTCTTCATCGCCTCTCCTACATCTACCAGGGCTCCACCTTAAACACGAATACACAGTAGAGTCATTCTGTGATAATAGAAGAACTGCAGCACAAGCTGAAACAATGTAATACACAGACTACAATAATAAAATATAACACTTTACAGTTCTGCAGGAATCTCAAAGAGAAGCCTTAGAATCTTCATGCAAACACAAAAATGACCCAGAACATACAGACATCAGGAAATATACACACACAAGGAATGTACTATTGAAAACCACACACAGTTCTTACCAAAGTTGGTTTCTTCTCCGAGTTCCCGTCCGTACTTAGACATGCACTCTCCCAGCAGCCCCTCTGCCTGAGGGTAGCCTGGATTCTTCACCTGTCCACGAATCTTAGACATGGTGTTTAACATGGAAAGTTTGGCCCGAGATGCTGTAGGAGGGGGTGGAGGGGTTTAATAACATCATGAATAAACTTGTATTTTATTATATATTTGCAGGTACGTAAAAGACATGCAGGCTCTCACCAGGGTTGGGTTGAAGGTACTCCGACGTTTTGGAGATGACCTCCACTACTGCTTTACTGGTTACATCTACTTTCTACAAAACACAACCAACATCTACATCACACAAGGCACTGACCAATAAGAAATGCCAACAGAAAATGAATGTTATATACAGTCTATACAACACTGTTCAAAGGTTAGGTGGCTGAGGAAATGTACTGTATCTCTCTCCCTGTTGTGGTTGTTTTCTTTTTCATGTCTCTGCACCTGCCGATGGACAGGATTGTTTCCAGGACATGGGCGGGGGTCCGGCAACAAAAACAAAATCCTGGAATAGTGCTTAAAACTACATTTAAAATTGTACTATAAATCCATCGCTTAGTTCAGGGTTGTCAAACTCATTTTCACAGAGGGCCAAAACTGGGACGAAGTAGGCGAACTCTAGTACACATTTGATATGATCTCGCGGGCCAAATATAACTAGTTCGACGCCTACGGCTAAGTTATTCAGAATGAGCTTATCTACATTTACTTTATTGTCTGCAAAATAGGCAAATATAGGAAACGTATACTCACCGCAAAGTCTACTATTCAAAAACACACACACATACATCTACATATATATACACAACTTTTTTACCAGCTGTAAGGCTGTATAGCATATATATATATACATACATGCATATATATGTGTATATATATATATACACATATATATATACACATATATATATACACATATATATATATACAACTGGGAAACAGGATATTATTGATGGAAACAGATGTTGGGGGTTGCAGCACTTACCCGTTCCAAATCTTTGAAGTCCTCATCTAGTTTGGTTCCCTCTGCACCTCCTACTTTCTCACTTACCAACTAAAATCAAGGAAGGAGAAAGAGATTTTGTTTATTTCATTAGAAAAATGGGTCAACGAGATGATAATGCACGAATGACAAAAAAGAGATCAGCTTTGACGTAACGGTCAAAAAGACCTACACAATAGAACAATCTATTAGGGAAAAAGACATTCGTATGTGTCTTTCATTTGCTCCTCAGCATGAAAACAAACAGACTGTGAAAACAACAACACTACCCACAAGGCCTTTGTATGATGATGATGATGATGATGAAGAAGACTGACCCATTTTATGATTATTGTTTCAGCGCAGACAATATGATACATGTGGACAAAAGAATGTGGATTAAAAGCACATGTATTCCACAGTGCCACTCTAAGCATATTTAAGGGCCACAGACAAAGGTCTGAAAAACACTCACTCTTTACTGTTAGTGCATAACAAGGTGGTTAGACAGAGGCTGACAAAACAGAGTTCTACCCAAACACGACCTACAATATGCACTGCCCTGGTCTGATCAGATCCTTACAACCATCTGTTTTGTAGCCTTCCTCAGAACTAATTTGTACGATGAGGTGAGCTTTTTTAAAGCAGATGTTTACTGGGAGTTGTTCCAGATACAGACTAGTAGACAAAAATATCCAACACCAAAGACAAAAACAAAACACAATACAGTACAGGGGTGTATATATGCTATTTTGCAAGTCAACCTTCTGTGACAAACCACACCTAAAAATATTTGTTTAATTATTGTTATAAGACAAAACTTGTATTACTACTTCAAACTGTGATATTTCCTTCAAGGCAACATTCAAGCCCAGGCCATTGCTTGACATTTTACTAATAATGAAACCATCAAATCTTCATGGCACTGTTTATGTACAAGGACAAAAATCCTAACTAAGCTCTTTTTTTTCCCCCAGGAAAAACAAACAAAACTAAGACACGCTATGCCTGACTTTGGTTCCGAAGGAATTTGCAGGACAAAAGACAGAGGCCAAACAAAGTGATTTACACACGTGCCTTTCCGAAATGTTGCCTTAACCTTTAGTGTAAATGACTCACACACACACTCCAACCCAATCAGAACAGGCCGTCCAGACCACGTATCCTCCTCGCAGATGAGGGAGGAAGTTTCTGTTTGCTTCTATTTTTTTATTATTTTACAAGGCAAAATTTACGAAGGCACACATAAACAAATTGCGTATTTGATTTATATTGACAACATACAGTTACAAATATCTGGTCGCTCACAACATCTGCTGGAGTTATCATTTGTTATAAAGCTATAAATATATACACACATACATATTTACATTGACATAATCATGACGATAAGAGCGTGACTTTAGCAACTAACAGAAAGTGAAAGTGAATTATTTTGAAAGTAAGGGATTCTTTATTGTATCCAAAATGTATATATTTTGGACAAACCTGATCTATTAGGGCACATTCACTTCGAGGAGGACCACAAGAATACAATGTGGTTCGTTACAAATATCTAGTCGCTCACAACATCTGCTGGAGTTATCAGACCACAAGAATACAAATATTACAAATATCTAGTCGCTCACATCTGCTGGAGTTATCACCGCAGTAATCCACACAACTGTCTATCGTGCTGCGCTGACATTTGGGAACGCCGTGCGCGTCTTTAGGAAAATAAATCCAGGGCTGTGTTTTAGTGCAGATGGAAAGAAACTTAGGCATTCGGGAGAAAGAGAAGTCTCACCATTTTATTGGTTCAAAACCTCAGTAAATATATCGGGTTTGTGTTTACAAGACAAGTGCATGTCGAGTGTCTGTGATTTGTCTCTGCAGTAAGGTTCAAATCCTACGTGACTCACGCTGCCGGTAGGCATTATGGTTTCTGGATTTAGAAACCAAGACACAAACCAAAGACAAATAAAGATGATATACCGTACATCAGAGAAGAGGACCTTGATTGTCTACTGCCAGTTCAAGTAACGGGCAGGAATCCACCCATAACTATCAGCCTTCAGAGCCTTTGACACAGTACTTTTTTGTTATTTTCTCTTGTCTTCTTCATGAACCTTGACCTCTCAACAATTCTCCACTGTTGTCTTCTATTACGTAACAAATGTCTGTGAAGTAAAAAATGTACTAAATAAAATCAACTTTTATTGCAAAATCTTCACAGGCAAAACTAAAACTACCAGACAAGCGTTCACATTTTTGTTAACGTGTACACGAGCTCAAAGATAAACAAGCATCAAAACAAGGTTCTCATCAGGAAGTGAAGGCCTAGATTTCCACGCGGGGGCCAGTCTATAACAGGTGTCCCTTCCCTTGTAATGACAAGGTATGAGAAAACATGACAGAACAGGCACCAAGCATGAGCTGAGAGCTTTTCAGTTGGAAGATATTGTTAGGAATTCAAAGATCGAGACCCTGTTTATTGACAACAGAGTGGAAAGACACATGAAAAAAAACAAAAAAAACAGCTGCTCCATATTAGATTTTTTTTTAAAAAGCACTTTGTGATAGAGCTAGACCTGAAAACTAGGTCAAAGGCGTGAGTGCCTTAAGGGAATAATTAGGTCACCACAAGTTACGAGTTGAACCGAACTACAAAAGAAAGACAAAACGCCTGGGTCAACAAAATACAAGAAGTTACCATCTGGATTTCTGTAAGCAAATGTTTACAACCATGGTGGATAATTACTGTGGTGATAAATACGTTCAGAATTCACATACACACGTACTGTACTGTAAGTGTATATAGACGTGTGTGTATGTATATATTTTTCGCGAGTATGTCATATTAATGAGAAAAACAATGAAGTTTTGGTTAAGAAACTGTGAACGCTGAGCTGTCATCTTCGAAGCAGAAATGTTGACGTTGGGTAAAAATATTTTTTTCATTAAGACTGTTCCTATAGAGACAATGCACATATTACTTAAGGAAATCACTCTAAACTGGTATGCCATATATAAAGTTATATGTAGCCTGTTTGAAAAACACAGTAACCTGCGAGGCCTGGAGCAGTGGAGGGGTCATTTGGTCAGAGAGTTAAGATTAGGCCTGTTGTCTATGGGGAGGTATTACAGCATGCAGTGGCTATAGTTGGTCTGATCTAGGATCAGCCATATTTATACCTCAAGTTTCTTATCATCAAGCAAACTAGGTGTAGGGTTATATCAAGGCACGGTCAATCTGCATTTTCACCGTTCCACTGACCTCCTTGAGGAGCGGCCAGCCAACGGGAGACAAAGTCAATATTGACAGGGTGACCGCACCTTTGGCGACATCAAGTGACACTTCTGCGGAAGACAGGAGTTTACTGTCGAAAGTAAAAACTGCACCTGTACTGTCTGCTTATCCTGAAGTTGAAGTACAAACTACCTGTAATACAAGACCTTTTAGGACATACATAGTCTCACCATGTGTTTACAGACACAACAGACACTCAAAGTTAACCGTCTGACAGTTTGTATGTCCAATTTGTTTAACAAATTTGAATATTGTGCAGAGTGAGCTTTGTAAATAAAGTTGCCAGTGTGACACTTGGTATGTGGCTTAAACTTACAACTGAGAGTTAGCTTGCTTTCAGAGAAACCCCTGCTATATCACATCAGCCAGTCAGTTAAAAAATACTGAGATATGACACATGCTAATGGTCGAACTGTGATGCAGCAGTATGTCAGGCGTGTGAGAAGAATGGAAGCTGGCTCGGGGAATTGACAACTCTGTTCAGAAATCTGTTATTTTACCCGCTTGAAATCGCATTTTTGATCTACCAATAATTTACCAGATCTAACAATGTTTGGCAACCTTAATGTATGGTCGTTTTGTTACATTAACGTTGAAGATCACGCCATTTGTTTCAAAGCAAAGAGTGATTCATAAAAACATAGACTATGTTCCAGAGAGCGATTTATAGGCAATTCCTCTTTTTTTTAACGTACATGGCTAAAAAAGTAGTTAACAGAATCATACACGAGGAAGGACAGAAAGTTGGAGAGTGAAAAAAAGAGGAAGTGTGAGAAATAACACAGATATGTATTTGTTTTTATAGCCATCTTCCCATGAACATCAGCGATAGCTGAGCTACATCAACATTTATTTATATTATTAGAGTTTTGGCAAGGAAATGAGCTGCAATGCTGTCACCCTCTCCCTTCTCTGTTTCCCTGATCCACAGGTTCAGTTCCTGCAAACACTTTCCTGATTACTTTTGGTATACTCAATCCACTGTCACTACATTAGTTACCTTAAATGACAACTTTTGAAATTGAGTTTATTTTTCCTTTGCAACCAAACCAACAGGGACCTGACTCTGTTCCTGTCAGGAAGCAGGCGTAGAAACCAAATGTCTTTCCTGCTTAGATCAGCAGGACTAGGAAGAAAAATCTGTTTGGATCTTCCCCACCCATGAGCAAGAGGGGCAGGCCTAAAGTAAAAAAAAAA